AACAGAGCCGATCCGCCCTGGGTGGCTGGTTTCGACCACAGACGAGCGGGGCACGTGCTCTCGCCGATCGCGAGTTGATGTTCGTTCATAATGGGGTACACGCCGTCGATGTACCCATACGTAGTTTCAACTTGGGGGATTTGGCCGATGCCTCTGGTGTCCGTCCAGTTGTAAAAGTCTTTTAGCAAGTTTTCCTTGAAATATTCTGGGGCGCCCCGGTCCGTGCCCACTACACACCTCGATCAAGCACGCAGCGGTCGCCTTGGGGTTTTCCCAACATACCGTAGCGAGGGTAAACTGAGCTCACGAGCACGACGTCTCGCTTCGAGCCAGGCGCATACTTCTTGGCAGGCACTTTGGCGATGCGGAAGTCGCACGACGAGCAATCGTTGGTTTGAGTGGTCATTGGGGACCCTGTCTTGGACGCCTTGGCACCGATCAAGATGGCAGTGCACTTGTCCGTCTCGACGAGCCGTGCGGCGACTGTCCATGCCAGCCCAATTGAGGCCACAGCGACGAGCTGCATGGACGCCGTGCGCGTTGAATAATGTCCCGACCAAGGATCGTCGCGTTCTAGCGGCGAATTGATACGGGAGGGACAATTTTCCCTTGTGTACGATCTCTTGATTTCATTATGGAAAGGACATGTCCCTCGTCTTGCCCTGAGGGTGGGACGAACCTTTTGCGTGTTTTGATTGGATCAAATTTGACCAATCAAAACATAGCATTGCATTGGATCACACATGAAATACCCTAAACAAACGTATCCGGATTTTCCACCGACCAACATTCTACGAAGGGGCACTCCGCGAAAATCCTTTGGCATAGACGGGCATCATGTATCACCACGCATCCTAGCAATGACTTTGGTGTGCAGCACCGACGTTTGAACTACGTTGTGCCGAAATCCCGTATTCAGCCTTGAATGAGCGTCGTGAAACCCTTTCTATTTGCTTCGATGAGTTTGTTTTCCACGCCGACAGCGTCCCTTCTCCCTTCCTGGACAAGACTCGTTGTACACCATACAGAACAACGGAATTGCTCGATCTCATTCCAGTCGTGAAGTCCCATTCCGAGGTGAGTGCACTGGGCCTCACGTTCCGGGCAGCCCTGGCGTTTGCACCCAGCATCCAACTGTGGATTCGCCCCACCTCAAACCTGTGGAGGTGGCATCGACTTTTTCGCGGCGCGACGCTGTAGCGAACAGAGAGGCGCCTCACCACAGCAGCCCCCCCTGAATCGCGAGCCCCAACCGCCCCTCCAAGCCGATCAACGAGTCGAAGCAACTGATTCGTGCAACGCCAGCAACCCCCGTCAATTCCATCAAGAATGCAGACGTTTTGAGAGGAATTGTAGCAGCGTGGGCGTCCCATTCCTCCAGCCCACGGATCGTCGATAATACACCGTCCTCGTGCCAGTTCGATTTGGTTAACAAAGGTTGAGATACCGACATGACCGAGAGGGGGGCGCCCTTAGATGCTGACAGCCAACTCGATCGTCTTGGGGTTGAACGACACGTACTTTTGCTTGCGAGTAGAGTTGCGGATGTCGACGATGTCGCCGAGCTTGACCAAGTCGGCCGTAAATTTGTGGCACAGCGCCTTGGCCTTGTCGTCCAACATGACGTGGGAAAAGTCTTCGAGAACGGACGGCTGGGCAAACCCGGTGGCCGACATGATGAGCGCAATGCGGACCGCACTCCCCGGGCGATTCGCGGCCTCCCCTTCGACCCACGCCGACCCGCAGAACGCCGGGTCACTCACGTACTCGGCAAGCGTCCCCAAGTGGTTGTGCATGCCAGTCACCCACACGATGCACTGCGCGAGAACGTCTTTCAAATTGTCCAGAGTCAGGGGCGGAAAGTCCCCCGGCAACTTGTCCAAGTAGTCCCAAAACTGCACAACCGACGGATCGTTCTTCACGGCAGCATCTCCGCCATAGTACAAATCGACGTAGGCACCGACAAAGTCGCGGACGACGTTCCAGTAGTCCAGACCGTCTTCGTGGTACGGCAGCTTGACCGTGTCGATGTCTTGGCGCGCCATTTGCTGGGGAAACGTGGTAAAGTTAAACTTGCCGAGGCCGTAGTCCCACGTTTGCTTCATCCCGTTCTCTGTCAGCGCAAACCCGCGGTGGAGCATGCCTTTGGGCCAGAAGAGAGCCCACGCGGCGGCGTAGTTGATCACGACGGACCGAAACGTGAACGGCTTGATGAGGCGGCGCAGCGGGTGGTCCACTGGCAGTTGTTCACGCGACGACGTTGTCAGGTAGTTGGCCACCATCGAGTGGATACCGAGCAAGTGGTCGACGGCGGTCACCTTGGTGTTGAGCGAGCTGCGGAAGCAAAACTTGACGTACTCCCACTCGACGTCGCCCGGAACGAACGTGCGACCGCCGCGCACGATCTTGACGACTGTTCCGTCCTTTGAAAAGTACGCATCGGCGCCGTACTTGGCGTATCCTTGGCGGACTTCGAGGACCTGCATGAAATCGAGAAGGACGCCGTAATACGATCCATCTGCGTGAGGCTCGTGGAGCTTCTCGACCAAATGCTGGGCGAACCCGTTGAACACGATGAGCTCGAGCGCTCGGTCCGAGTACCGATCGTTCCAGTGCACGTTGACGCGGGGCCACATCTTGCCGACCTTTTGCATCACGTACGCCTCCATATCTTCCCCAGGCACCCAATTGTCGTGAAAGTTGTCGCCAATTGGCAGCGTGTCGCGCAAAAAGACCATCGCAGCCTTCTCGTACCATGGATCGAGCGGCGTGTCTTCGTCGTCGGTTGGAACCATGATGTTCGTGTGCAGGAGGTTGATCTTGGGCAGTTCCTTCTGGTACTTGGGCAACTTGAGCGCGGTCGCCGCGTTCGGGACATCCCACATCGCTTGTTTCTTTTGGAGCAGTTGAATCATGAGGTGGGTCCACGAGTCCAGCCGCGAGTCGGTAAACATGTCATACAGCGACTCCATGTTGTCGCGGTACGACTTGGCCTCCGGCAGCGACAGGAACGCCCAGTCGTCATGGCATCCCGCGACTTCAAACACGTTGCCGTTGTGGTCGTCGCGGCGGCGGGTAAAGTTGACCGCCATGAGACCACCCTTGGGGGTCGCGTGGGGCACGTTGTCGGCCAGCGTGTAGTCTTGGAACGGCAGCATCTTCCACTCAAAGTCAAGCAGCGACACAAATGCAGCTTGCAGCACTAGCGCGCGGAGGTCTTCGTCCAGCGCCCACGGAAACAGCACAACGTGCTCTTGGTTGAGGTACCGGTTCGGGTAAAACTGGGCGGCATCGGGCCATGCCGTTCCTTCCAGCACCGCCGTGCACAGCGTTCCGCGAGGGATTTTGAGCACGGTCTGCTCCTTGCTGTCGGGCGATGTCGTCGTCACATTCACGTCGCGAGTTGCGCGGCCGTAAATGTGGTGCGGACCAGCGACGTAGTACCGCGTGACTTCTTTCAGGAATCGCTGGATGTAGCCCAAATCGTCCAAGTGGTGCCACCGGTCGTCGATGGACGGGTACTTGGCAGCAAACTCGGCACGCGCCTTCACGAGCTTGTCGCGTTCGTCTTCGAACACGCAAAACGCCGTGATCGAATTCACGACGAGGCTCTCGACGCCGCTGAGGCCGGTGACAAGGATGTAGAAGATGTGCGTCCGAATTGCTGGATCGTCGAGCTGTTTGCCCGCTACGAGTTCGTCCAGCACGCACGGTTTGGCCGCACCACGCGCCACACGATCCCGACTACGCACCAACGCGGGGTCCACCAACGTGTGGATGAGCTGGTCGCGAAGCTTCACCGCGCCGCGGTCGGCATGGCCCAGAGACTTGCGCAAGCCGAGAATGAACTCATCCACGATCGGGTGCAGCGCCTTCACTTGCTCGCCGGTGGGGTCGTCTACGCCAAACAGAATCGCGAGGAAGATGCTAAAGACCATGTCGGCGGACGTCGTCGCGAGCGACTGGACGCCGCCGCGAGCCGCCCATCGATGGTGTTCACGATGGACAATTTCACGGATCACGGGCTTGTACAGACCCAGCTGGCGTGATCCAGTGAGGGCCTTGTACAGGGCGGCGTGTGCGCGAGTGTATGCTTCACCATCCAGCGACGGCACGACCGGGCCGAGGACGTCGACGTAGCCACGGGGCAACGACTCCTTCCGGACAAAGCTGCCGTCCGCGACCCGCGCGTCAAACTCGCCAAGACCGTCATCACCAAAAAAGCCCACGACGCTTTCCTGGGACATCGCAAACTCGAGGACGGACAGGTCCGACGAGTCGCCGTCGAGTTTGGTCGGCTGATTGTCGTACGACAGCACGTGCACCGACTGGTTGGACGTGCGCTCGGTGGATGCGTGGTGGCCCATCGCAAAACGAAATGTGGTCGGTCGTGAAATTTCGCTTCTCGTCGTACAGTGCAAAGTGCCAAGCTCGTCGTGACGTGATCCAATCACGTGGGGAATTCCCAGAAACGGACGGCTACGCGGCGTCGAGATCTTGGTGCAAAGCCAAAGATCAAGTTGGGACAGCCGATCCTGTGGCGGTTGGCACTGGCGCCAGGCACGTCGGAGGCCAAAGCGGCTGCACAACTTTCGGCACCACGACGACCGGGATGTGCTGTACGTCGATCGCAACGTTGACGTCGTGAGGTTGCAGCAGCACGCTGTGGAAACATGGCGGAGCGATGCTTCCGACTTTCAGGGGACCGATGCGCATCGCCTGGCGGACGTGCATGTGGGATCTGCTTTGTGGAATCTGTCGAGAGGGCAGCGGGAGGCACACCCCTGGAACAACCGTGAGCGCGTGTGCCGTGGTGGACGCGTTCTCCTCCGTGTAGACGTGCCTCGGCTGCACCATCACGCACGCATCCCTGCAACTGTCCTCTTCACAACCCCCCATGCCCGGCCGTGCCCTGGCCTGTGGTGGTGGACGTTTTCCACTTCAGATCGCCCATGCATCGCGCGACAGCGGTACGATCCAAGTTGTCGGGAGCAAGTGCTTCCCCCCCCCTCCATCTCCCCAAGCACACTCGACTGACCAAACGAACGGTGCCATGACTCGTCGAGTGCCCCCCCATGACGAAAGAGTTGGATAATGACGACACCGATGAGGGTACCACGGGTTACCCGCTGCTGAGCAGGCGAGAGCCCTGCGCTAGCAGCCGACGAATACCAGCGACTGCTGGCTCAGTACGCTGCAGTCCGACAGTCGCCAGGGGTGCTGAATCGCCTTCGTCCGTTGCACTTTGCCCTTTGCACTCCATCAGGCGCCCGTCGTGCTCCGTCCATGACATACATTTCACCATGGGAATGTTGGTCTGTTGCCGGATGTGGAGCACTGGACATTCCACCATGTTCGGCATCGGGCTGGCCGCGAGCGGCGGTGTGTTCATGTACATCGGCCACAAGGTCAAAGCCGCCAGCAGCCGTGCTTTACGCGACACCCACGCGATATTGGAGAGCAAGGACATTGCGACCATCTCGGCGACACCGTCCCATGAGCAACAATCGGAGTATGTGAGCTTCTCCGGCCGGTTGAAGCCGTTCGATTCGCCGTTGCTGAAGAGCGCGATCATGCGACGCATGAATTCAGACGTGCATGACGCGATCCGCCTCAAGAGCACAACGTACCAGCGCGCAGAAGAAGCTGCCGGCCACGTGCTTGTGCACACGGAGACAAAAGTGTCGGAATCCGAGGCGGGCGGCATTGTCGCTGTCGAACCTTTTATGGCAACGTCGTCGAAGGTGCTGTTGAAGGACTCGGTGTACTACAGGTCGTTGTACCGTGCCGGGGAAGACGAGTTTAAGCCTGCAGTGGACTCGTCCGTATCGATCTTCAGCGAGGCACCCAAGACGAAAACGATCGGGTTTCGCACCACGGAGCGACTGATCCCCGTGGACCAAGTCGTGTCGGGCGTCGGCGTCGTGGAAGGACGACTCGTGCCTGGGGCGACTGGCGCGCCCAAGCTCGAGTGGGTCCTCATCCACCCCGACCACGACAAGGTCCACAACCGGCCATCGTTCGTTGTCTATGGCGACAAGAGCGACCTCGTGCGAGCACGGAAGCAGCAGGCGGCGACGCTGGACGACATTGGCGATGTTCTGAGCGTGATTGGTGCCGTCGGGGTCGTCATTGGCGCTTTCTCTATCTACAAGTCCACGTCAAACAAATAGATGCAATCGACAATACTCGTGTGTATCTTGTACGGTGGCTGGAAAGCTTGGTGCGACCCTCTCATGAGGTTTGACAGTTCCCCATGGGCATCCTCGAGGCGAGCGTTGGCCGGCGCACACAAAGGGAATTGTGTGTGAAGATGGCTGAGCACGCGCACCAACAATCATGCATGCGCCAAACACCCCGTCGGAGTGGAAAGTGTGCTCGCGACGACAACTATGAATACGCCTGCAGTCTACATCTACTCCGCCTATACAGCGAGTGGATGTCACCATGCGTACTAAAAACGGACACCAAGGGCACAACCGACGTTCGAGTGGTGATCGCCAGAGCCGTACGACCAGCGCAGTGGTGACACTGCGTGCATGCCGTCGTCGCCGGGACAATCTCCGTCCCCCAGAGCCTTCACGACGCGAAGACCTAGTCGCCGTGCGAGGTGGGTGCACCATGACAGCGATATCGCAGCAACGAATCACCCGTGTTGGTGTCGACGGCCGTAGCCGCACATTGCGCCATGGACTCTGCCGCTGGCACTTTGATGAATTGATTTCATTGGATGAAATGATTCGAAATAGTTGAAACCAAGTGCTCGGATTGGCCAATTCGTCCCCGCCAAAACGTGCAAATATCCCGCCACGATCGAACCAGCCAATCACAGCCGTCGATGGACTTTCAAATGGGCAAGGTCAAACACGCGATACAATTTCGTGCCAAGTGATGACGACGGAGATGGACAAGCTCAGCTCGCCCAAGATCTTGCTATCGCCGACGGCGACGTGGAAGCGCCAGAAGAAGTTTACTCCAACACGCCCGATCGTAGCGTCGCCTCCACCCACGAAGTCGCGAAGGCGGAGACAATGTACGTCGCTTTTGTTTACACCCGACCCCGACACATCGACGGGACCTGCTGCCAAGAAACCGCGACATGATTCGTGCACGCCAACGACAGAACACGAAGACAATGACGGCGGCGAAGAAGTCATGTTGGGTTTCACGAGCAGCTCGAAGATCGAAGACGTTGGATTGTTTAACTGCGACCATGACGTCCAGTTCACGGGAGGGCTGTATGGCGAAGGCACGGACGGCAAGGTGAGTGCGTGCATCGTACAGGGTCAAAAGATTGCTTTGAAACGATCTAAGCCCCACGACGGGTTTACCGCCGACCAAGCCAAGCGAAAGAGCGCCGTGGAACTGCACTACTTGCGTCGAGTACGCCATAAACCCGGATTCATTCAATGTCTTGGCATGTGCGACGGCATCGAACACACATGCATTGCGTTGGAAGTGATGGATTGCAAGCTGAGCGAGTACCAACGCAAGCGCATGGGTGTCAAGCAGCCGTTTCCTGCCAACGTCGCGCACCGCATCCTCAAACAAATCTCCGCCGCGATGATGGTGCTCCACGAAGAAGTCGACGCAGCGCACGGCGACCTCGCTTGCCGCAACATCCTCGTGCGCATGCCACCCAAGGGCCTCGAGAACACGATCGACCCTGAGATCAAACTCAGCGACTTTGGTCGGATCAAGACGCGGGACCAAGAGCCGCCCATTTTGAAGCCGTCGTTCAGTTTCTTTAAGAACGCCGACATTGGGTCCTTCGGTCGCGACGTGCTTTATCGGCTCTTGGTCGGGGACGTCTTGCCCGCTCAGTCGCTGGAATCGCGGTCGCTCCACCGCCTGCTTCAGGACTACGTGGTCAAGTCGGTGCCGGATGGCGCAGCGGCCTTGCTCGGTCCATACTACAGCTTGTTCCAAAAGTGTACGGCATGGGGCGTCCGTCCATCATTTCGAACCATCCACGATCACTTGGAAGCGCTCGAGTACTTTGACGTGTTTGAAAACGGCTTGTTTCCGCTTAAGCCGAATCTCCACCACCTTGGCGCACCCCCGACGTCGATGCCACACGGATCCACGAAACTATCGACGCCAGATATCAAGCGAAGCCTGTCGTTCCAGCGGGGCTCGAGCAGCTGCTCAAAGAAGCTCGAGTCGGCCCCATCCCCAACGCCCAAACAAGCGCCGACGGAGCCCGCGCCAGATGGCCTTTCCGCCAAGGTGAACTGGCTCAAGCCGCGACCCGTCGCATCGTCGGCACCGCTGAAACCAGTCAACCCTGGCACGTCGAGGAGATCGCTCAAGATCTTGAGTGAAATCTCCAAGCAGAGATATTTAAAGCAATAGATGTCATCACACCACTGATGCCTCGAGGTTGGTCGCACAGATAAAACCACACTCGAGCTGAAAGCGCGGTCGGGGAAAGACAGGAGTCGCAACCATGCCACAAGACCCTATGATGATTAGTCGTTCGGTTGCAAACGACCACACGGAAGAGATCGCACCGTTCTGGCGATCGTCGAGTCTCTCTGGTTTTCGCAACACGTTGCATGTATACGCGCGTACTCTCCCGTCTCTACAAGGTGAATTGCTCACGATGGACGACTCCATCCAACTCCGTCGATCGCCGACGTCCGCGCACACGTCATGGCGAAGGTCGTGAAACTGCCGTCCGAATCCGGATAATCGTCCGTTTCGTTTAGGTCACTGTACGGTACAGTGACTACCCCTACCCCAGCGGGTATCCGGATGCGGCGTCCCCACCACTCATTTTCGAATTCTCTGGCTAAGCGTTGTGTGTTGATGGCTGGTGCAGGTGGCGCCGCTTCCAGAAGAGCGTCCGTGTGTCGTCATTCTTGCATTTGCCGTCGACGATGACCTCAATCGAAATGAGAAGATCTTACCTTCTTTCCCCATACTATCGAAGCTGAGTAGACCGAAAGACTCCACTCTGTGGTGACGGTTTGATCGATGTTCGGGTCCCCATGTTGCCCTTGTGCGCTCCGTGTGTGTGTGTGTTGTGTGCATACCCAAGGAATGTGATGCGACAAAAACTTAGGACACCTCCGAAAGCGTTTGCCAACGCACTTGATGTGGACTTTAAGATATTCATACTGCCTGACTCCTACTGCATGTACTTGTATGAGTTGCTTCCCCGACGACCGTAGCGCTGATGAACGAAGTGATATGTGTCTTTGACCAACTCATGAAACGAAGAACAATTTCTGTTGCCTTCCTACTGAGCTACCACCGTACTTTCATATATCCATGTTGCCCAGCCGCGAATTGGGAATGAAGATTTGAAAAATGCATAGTTCAACTGACACTTCGTGATGAACTTTCCATCAAGCAATGTCTTTCGCTCCTATCTGACCCAATCCATCCTCGAGCTACATGTTTCCCCACAAGTGTGATGATTTATGATACATGGGAATCTCTCTGACCTCGTTCTAATGAACGGGCCGGTGACGAGAACATATCATCCTTGCTCTGACTTGTGCCATTTTGTGTTGATGTGATGTCGAAAGATAATCCAACTCTGAAGCTTACATGTTGACCAAACAATCTAGAGCTTTTTAACCCTGATCAACACCCTCACAGTGCATGTATGTCCTGCGTGTGTGTATGAATGTGCGTGTTTGGTCGGCTTCTCTTTGGAGGATGTGCGATATATTTCGCATATTTGGAGCATTCTCCCTCAAAGCTGTCCAAAACCGACTGACCGGCCTAGTTTCAAGGGTCTTCGATTGCCATTGACGAGAACCTCGGGTGCCTTGGTTACATGATTTGACTTTTGCATTGGGATCTTCTTCGGGACGTATCATGTTCAGATGGATATCTTCCCTCAACAAACTCCCTAGAACGTCGTCGGTGCTTTGTGGACGTGTGTGGAGTTGTGCCGCTTGCGGTGGATTTCCTCTGCAAGGAATCGTACATCAAGTTGTTTGTGCGTATGCGTACTGGGCGTGGCAGACGTCGAAATGAGAAGATGAATAGTTCTTCTTTCCACTGATCGACACGGATGACAAGCAGCAAATACCAACGGGAGCCAGCCAGCTCTCGGCGGTGCATTTGATCGATGTCTGCCTCGTTTTTCCCAAGACTTTTGTGTGTGTGACGACGGATGTCGACATGAGAAGATAAAGTAGTTCTTCTTTCCACTGATCGACACGGATGACAACCAGAATATGCCAAAGGTAGCCAGCCAGCTATCCATGGTGCCTTTGATCGATCTCCGTCGTGCATGTCGTAGCTCGAACATAAACATGTAAGAAATTCACGAGCTTCCTTGAATCTGTCTCAATCGTTGATTGCCGCGGCATTGGTAGCTTTGGAACTCTTGCATCGAGGCTTCTTTTGTCGGAGTGGTGTAGGAGGCGTTGCCTGTGAGAAGTGGTGTCTCTGTGGCCACGTGATCCTGAGCATTGACGGGATGGCCTCGGGGAGTACGCCTTGTGGTCATTCCCGGTGGCATTTCTGTCGTCTAATTCGATATGCTGAAGCGGAGCGGTTCCTTTGAGAGTGTGAAAAGTATATCGGCGATTCCATTGTCGCCAAAGACGACGCATCGTACGAGGCGCTGTTGCGGACGACCATCCTTACGTTTGCCAAATCGAAAGTGGGCGAAGGCCAGCATTTCCCACGCACTACGCCACCATGTACTTTGAATCGACTCGACATACCCGAGTTCTTGGTTCGAAGTCAAATCGCTTCGTGTGGAGGCCTTGGTCGATAACGCAATGGATGGTTGCCTCGACGTTAGATGTCGGGCTGAGGGTCTGAACGACGGCGGCGCGGTCGCCGACAGTTCCATCTTGCTGACGAGAATGACTCAACTTGGTCGATGAGCAGCTGGCGGATCGGCTTGGTGTTCTATGGGTGTAGCATCTTGGGACATCCATGTGTGTGCGGGCGTCCCTCGCGTGAGTCTTGCATGCGGTCGTAGAAGTCCGGGGAAGCTGCATGTTGTGCCACGGGTCTGTCCGTGGAGTGGGCCATTGTGATTCATCATAACTGGCCAACTCTGCTGTCACTAGAAGGTAACTTACGTCGCCCGTCGTGGTCGCCTCCAGTGATCAAACTGATCGAGAATCAGCTGGGTGCGTAGGCCGGTGGTGCCATGTAGCGGTGGCCATTCGGCGCCGCGCCATCCGCGGGAGACGAACGTTGTTGACGTGTGCATGCGCTTGGCATCCATGTGGCGGGGGGCTCTCTGGAATTACTTCCCATGTTGATCGTGTCAAGATGTCCAATTGGAATGCAGAGGGGCAGATGTTGGGCAAAACATCGGGGACTCTTTGATGGCTTCACGGCAGGGAAAGCCGAGTTTGGAGACACTGCCGCAGGCAGGCGCTACACCGCCCGTTCCCCCCACGGCGGAGTTTGATTCCCTGGCCAGTGCTACCACGAACGTTGATAGTCTCAGACCGAGGAGCCCAACGTACAGTGTCGGCGCAGCGAGTGGTTGGCATCGACTCGTCGCCACGCCCCCTCGTCTATTGGGGTCGAGTCGTGTGCAAGAACAAGCATGTTGCGGCGAACCTCGCATCGTCCAGGTGCATCGAGTGACAAAGGAAAGGCATGCTCATCTTGGTGCACCACACCTTACGCTACCCCCTTGCGGTCGGTAGCGTAAGGTCTGTGTATCCAGCCGAGTCAGCCCCCGCCATTACGCAACAATGATTCCTGTCGTGCATGCCAGTTGGGCCTCGGCGACTATACAACCCCCAAGACAATTGCAGTCAACCCCTGGGCGGCATGTTTGCTCGTGCCAGGCAAACGGGGGGGGGGCCACGTGGCACAACTCGAGGCATGGGCAAAATGTGTGGGTTCGCCCCAATTACAGCCCCCCCCCCGGCATCGACACAGCATCGTGATGACATGATCAGGTCGCTACGAGGACAGACGCAACCTCGGCCGCGACCCCCGCGGTGGCAGCGGTCTTGGTTCGTTTGCCGGCGTCCAGACTTACGTAGGTTCGCCCGGCCGGACCATGCATTGTCCATGGGCCATCGATTAACTGGCTTTCCCCGTTGCGTGGAGGCATGCATGAGGCGGATGTCACGGCAACCGGGCATAAAGTCCTGCCATCCGCCAGATCCGGTTCCATCAACTTACGGGGCACGTTTCCACGTGGAGCGCATCGTCCACCCTTGAAACGTATATACAGCAAATGTCGGAAAATTCATCTTGGCTGGCACTGGCCCTCCCAAACTTGGCACAAGGGGAATGCAGCCCCCCACCCACACACACCGTGCAAGCCCCTTCCACGACTCGAGTGATTGTCCGACCAGCTGTCTCGACAGCCTCTCCACAATGGACCATGGGCGGCGCGGTACCAGCGCGCCCTCACGTGTCCGTCATGACTTGCCCCCCCCTGCCAGACACCCCCCCTCTCAGAAAATTCAGACTTTCAACCTCGTGCACTTGCAACGACACTGCGTGCCTTTGCCGCTGGTACATCTCTGGCCTCTGCCAACCTGCCCGGGACTTTGCCCCAACTGGCTGGACCGGCTCGGTCGTGCGCAACGGCCGTCCACACTCGACCGATCGGGCAATTCAACAGGTTTCCCATTAAATACCTTGATGTTTGTATGGAGATTAAAATGTTTCGATTCTATTTCGACCAAGATGGTGGTCGACAACCTTTTTCCGTTGACTGAGAATGGTGAGAGCGAGCACACGCGGTGTGGTCATTTGGCCACATGGCCCCCCTGCACCCGACGAAACGCTGCAATTCATGGCGTCATGCGTCATTTTCCAACAAGCCATCGCCCCCACGCACTGTGAGCATGTTCCCGTCCTTGGTCTCAGACTTCATCAGGTCCCTACGCCACACACAGTCGTGCCCGGACGTGGATGTACACGCCAAGGAGATTCATCTTCGCCGCCACTCGGCCGACGAGGCGTCGCCAAAAAGGAACGACGGCGTGGCTTCGTGGGACTACAAACGCCACAAGTGTAGCAATTGCAAGCATATTTATCTCAAGAGCTTGAGTCCAGCCGTCGGGTTTTGCTCCATGGATTGCAAGGCGAACGCGATGTACCTCCACGCGATGAGCGAAAAGATCAAGGCCGCCAAGGACTGTGTCCAAGCCGAGCAAGTCGTTGAGCCTTCGATGGCGCATCAAGCACCGGAATCGAAACACGAGCGTCCAGACAGCGCCAACCCCGCGGACGATCGCGATGAATCCGACATGGACTTCGACATGGCCATGGGCACGTATTGCCCACCAGCTACGTTTGCCGAGTTCCACACCCGCAAGCTCACGTGCCGCCCAGTCGAATGGTCGTTTAGCGCCATGTACTAGACGGTTGTGGTAGTGTTAGCCGCGTTATTTATTGCCAGTGTACAATAGAAATACAAGTTTGGCATCGCTCAACATTGTATATGTATCTCTCCTGCGACCTGTGGAACGAGCCCAAACATGTCGGAGCGGCAGAGCGTGGGTAATGAACGAGGCACGAGCGAGAGCGGCAGGGCGAGAATCGATACCTTTCTTGTTCTTGTCACCGGCGCAACCCCAGGCGTGTGTGAACTTATGTAGGGTGGCGCTTCATGTGCCAAAAACACCTACAGCCAAACCCATCAGCCACCCACCCCTTCGGAACACCTGTATGCGACGAGGGGTTCACTCGAACGAAGGAGGATCGAATCCTCATGCCACCGAAGGTTCAGAAAGGCGGGATGTGTTGATCATGGCATGGGGAAAGCTGCGTGGGAGTTGTTTGCCTTGGATACCTTTATCGGAATAAAGACTCTATTGCGAGATACTGGATTCGTTTGGCCTTACGAATTTGCCACGTCACGCTTCCCCTCTTGAGAATACACAAAAACTGGCATTGCTTCCCGCATTTTGACAGCTGCATGCACTTTACTGCTTGCTATGCCGCGCCATTCGTAACAACGCCCCACCTACATCCTCGAAGCGCCCCTCCCCCAGCTGCTTCCAACGCAGGCCCCTGTCGCCCCTGACGCATGGATAACAACACCAAGCGGCCACACATCTCCACTCATCGTCCTACGTAAAATTGTGCAGCTCCTGTTTGCGACGAAGGATCATTCCACTTGGAATGGCGAGCCTCCCGGGTGACCATGACGGTTCACGCAGCAAAATGCCCCCAAGAGAACAAAAGACCAAGTGCGATGTGGACCATATTCGTCGACTCGTCCTTGAGACGATGCGCTTGATTCGGCGCGACTTTCCCTGAAGAAACCCCGACCAGTCAGCCGAAGACAGCCGCCCCGAGAGGGCCAAGTTATTGAGTTTTGAGCCCCCCATCCAAACGAGACAACGTATCGTGGCAGAGGCTGCGAGGCACATAATGTTCGAAGTCGAACGATATTGGCCCCCAACACCGTCAGCGGAGCAGTTTCATATCGCGGAGCTATCGGTCGCTCGATGAACGCTCCACGCCCCAGTGCCAGCGCCGCCGCTTCGCCCATGGGCGGGCCCACCGGACTCCTCCCGACGCGCCTCCTGCGCACCCTCCACACGTGGAAAGCGTCAGGTAGTCGTGTTCTGACCGCTGCAAAGTACGCTGACTACGCCGTCGTCGATGGAGATGACGACCTGGCCATGGACCAAATGGAAAGTCCCGAGCTCGCGACCTCGACGACGGACGACCTGCCGGTGTTGGCTTGTCGACTGGCCACTTCGACCACTTCAACGGCCGGCAAGTCCGCGCCGCCATCGCCCGAGGCTCCAAGTCCCGCAAAGGGGGTGTTTGACGTGTTGCTCCAAAAAGACGCCAACGGACTCGGGTTTTGCCTGGCGGTGGACGACCGTACGCACGAAGCGCTGCTCGTGACGTCGTTTCGACGGCTACATGCGGGGGACATTGGACCGGCGGAAGCATCCAAGACGATCCTTCCCGGCGACGCTTTGCTGGCAATCAATGGCGAACCCGTCTACTCGTTGCAGCAAGTCCAGTCGAAGGTCACCGCGTGCGACGAGTCGGCCTTCGTGCTGCTGCGATTTCGTCGCGGGGCGCCTCGCGACAACGCAGCAGCCGCCGTTCGTCCAGCGGCCACTGCTCCCCCACGACCACCCCACACCACCATGAGCCAGCGAGAGCTCCAAATGGCCACAACGTTGCACGACATGGCCAAGAAGAGCGAGCTTCTCCTGTCCCAGCTGAGTGACGCCAATATGAAAGTGACGGCGCAGACACGCGAGATCGACGCACTGCGTGCCGAAGTGCTGCAGCTTCGACTTGACCGCGACATGCAAGCGCAGTCGGCGTCGAGGGGATGGACCCATGGCTTGACCCGGCCCGCAGCCAAGGCCTCTGCCAAGCACGAACTCGACGTCGTCGTCACGGAAGCGCACAACGAACTCAAACGGTCGGCAGTGCAGCACTTGCAAGCCGAGAAGGATGCGATTCGTGCCGACGCAAGGCGTCAAATGGACGAGTGGAAACTGTCTGTGCTGAAGAAGCAAGCGATGCTGGAAGAAGCTCTTCTGTTCATGGTCGACCACGTCGACGAATGGGCTAGCCAACCCAAGGACACGTCGTCGAAAACCACTTCCATCCCTACGAAAGGCCCTTCCCTTTCCAAACACGCGTCGCCCATTGTCGTCGACGCCCGGGTGGCGCAAATCCGAGCTATCCTTGACAAGTACTACGCAAGTCGGCAAGTTGGCCATGCCGACTTGCCACCGCTCTCCCTCGTGCAGTCGCCGCCGACACCAACGACCGCACCGTTAGCGTGAATCGATACTATTTAATAAAAGGACAACAGGCGACTCTGGGCAATGCATCCCCGTCGGTGCACGACCGATGTGCAAACCAGAACGAGGTCGGTGTCGATTGGCACACCCATGGCGCCGCCCACTTGCTCGCCATGAATCGGTACACACCGTTCCGAGGGCTATGACCTTTCAGCTCAAGCCTCGATCCCCGCGGCATGTATGACGAGGCGTCATAGGACGGCGGCGCCAAAGCTAGTTGCACGGCACATGCCAAGACCAAGTTTGTTCTGGCCACCTCACCTGCCGGGGGGGGATTTTGCCGTTGTTCAAGCGCAGGTCGGAGAAGTTTGTGTTGGGATTATTGTTCGACCGTCGTTGCGACGAGCGCCGCCGTGATGGCCCCGCACGCACACTCAAAAGCACTGGAGCTGTCTGTCGGTGGTTTATAGCTATGTGGATTAAATAAGGGGCTATCGGTCTACACGAGCATGGCTGCATGCTCGAGGATATCGTCAACGAAGAGGCGGTCGTCCGGGTTGAGCGCGAGCATCTTTTCAAGGAGATCAGAGACTTCGGGGGTGAGGAATCCTTTCTTCTGGCAGATTGTCAGCACCGGGTCGAGGCCCTGGCGCGTGACCGCGCGATAGAGCTTGTCCTTGGCCGACGCAACGTCAAAGAGCGGCACGCCAGTGAGCATCATGAACAAGACAACGCCGAGGGACCAAATGTCCGCGGCCTTCGGGTCGTACTCGAGTCCATCGACGACTTCAGGAGCCATGTACATGATCTTGCCAACGGATGCACGGGTTGGGACGGTCGCGTCGACGCTCAAACCAAAGTCGCCGATCTTGCACCGGCCATCCTTGACAAAAATGTTCTCGAGCGACAAGTCTCGGTGGGCCACGTTGTGTTTGTGCATGAATTGGAGGCCCCGTACGATATCGCGAAAGTAGGCAAGGGCTCGAGCGAGGTCAAATCGACCCGACGGCACTTGCTGCTGGACCGTGAGGAGATCGCCTTCGTTGCAAAACTCGAGCACGAGGTGACTACACCCGTCCTCAGTGAAATGTTCGATCATACGAACAATGTTCGGGTGGCCCCCGTTCGCGTTGAGCAGGCGGGTTGTCTCGATTTCGCGACCAAAATCTTCCGCGGCGCGGGCGATCGATCGCGATTCGGTCGCACGGCGCTTGATCACACACTTGGCCAGGTCATGGTCCATGTCGAGGTAGGTGTGGGTCGTGCCGTACGGAGCTTCAAACAGGACACAAGGCTGCGTATATCTGTGCATTTCACGGACGCGGCGAATCGAGAACTAACTGGCCGCGGCGCTGGCCTTGTCGGTCTCCGTTACACGTGACCACGCGTGCCACTTTTATCTTGGGGAAGTCTCACGGGAGGGGCGATGGCGACCTTTCGAGCGACCACCTGACAATGGTGGTATAGCATTATCACCAGAATCCACACGACCACAACGACTATACTGTAATCAAGATAATACAGAAGATGAAAATGTCTTCCGTCCGCAACTGTTCTGACGCCAGGTAGTTGAGGGTTTGTCCCACGTCAGCGTACAAGGGAGAGAGGGTCAAGATCTGGTCCACCTAGTGAGAAGAGAGCGTTGTGCGACCTGCGTCGGGCTCGCAAGGACCTATACGGACGCGAAATGTGTCCCGACGGATGCCCAGGGAGCCCGTACAGAATCTGCTACATTTTCCCGTTTGGCATGGGTCCGACGTCGCGCTCGACCACTTCAACCCCGTCGATTGTGTGAAGTGCGAGTGCCGCGACACATATGTCAGGTAAACATATGCGTATATTTGAAGGCTCATGTACCTTGTAAAATTCATCCTATACAAAACAAAAGTGCAAAACACACTGAACAGGTGAATATGAACACGTGACCATCTCGAACTAAAATCGATGGTTTTTCCCGTGATAACCTCGCACGACGAGGTTTGTCCCAATGGCGTATTTCCCGAGATGGTGGAAGAACGTTCGGCCGTTGACGTGGCGCCATGACAAAGTGGCGTGGGGGCGACCGTGGAGGAATTAGTCACAGGAAAGAATGGGTGGTGCTTCGGCATTTCAGTCAAGGGCGATCTCCTCCGTCCATGTGTGAGTAAACGCGACCACCCATGGACCGTGGCCTTGCTCTCTACCGTACTCGGCCAATGTGCGACTACACAATGCACAACACCACGACACACCACTGAACAGGAGCGGCGGGCGTTGGAATCAGGCACGTTGCTTGGACAGCAGATCCCGGTGGCATAGAACACCTTCCCCCTCCCCTCGGTGGAGTTGCCTCGACGGGACCATCGCGATGCGGCGGACAACTGGCAGGCCCGGTGTTGGCCCCCCCCAGTCGCCCAAGGGCCACCCAAGTGGTTACACATGCGCCACCGAACACAGTCCTGGTGTTGCTGTCTTGTTACATCAGGTTGAAGGTCGCTCCAGTCGCAGCTTCTCAGACGACGAGCTCGCGCTGGCGCCTGAGCCATAACCCACGAACGAACCCGCTGTACACCTGCAGCACACGCCGTCGGAAATCCCATCGACGCCTGGCGGCGACACACGTCCACTACAGCCATACGTTGTGCGATCCCACCGTCCCGTGCCTGGAATGTGCCATGAATCATGCATCACTCGCGGCAGTGTCGACCGCACTGGCAACTCCCCCCGCACGCGTATCCACCGCAGCAAACGACTGAGTGGCCTCGGTCGATGACGTGGCGCGTCCTGAGGAAAGGTAACGCTTTGGCTGGTTTGTCCCTTGGACTCGGGAACAAAAAACCGACAGCGTCGGCTCAGCCAATGGGAGAGGGCCATGGGCGAAACCAATGGCATCGCGATGCAAACTCGAAATTGGGCGACGGCGATGGGAGCTGGAGCGGCGCCGCAGGTGTGCACCAATTCGTCCGCGTATAAATTTGGCGTCCTTCCGGAAGCGGACTTGCCGCTACTTCGCCAGCGCATCCTCGACCACGCCTCCTCGCTGCCGTCTCCACTGTTCGGCACGATCTTGCTCACGGTGGAAGGGCTCAACATCCGGCTGAGCGGGTCGACGGATGCCGTCTTGGCCATGCAGTCATTCTTGAGTGATCAACTGCATGCGAACTTGACTCCAATCGAGTACAAAGACTCGTACACGGATGAGCCAACACTGCGCAAGTTCCTCGTCCGCATCAAGAAGGAAGTGATCTCGATGGGCATGACCGACGTGGTCAATCCGGCACAGACTGGCCTCGCCCAGCACATTTCCCCCGAGGATTTCAAAGACTGGATGGACCAACGCAAGGACATGCTGATTCTTGACACGCGGTACGTGTGCAGCACTGGTGCTTGAATCACGTGATGGTCTCACTGGTGCAATGTGCAGCAACGACTACGAGGTTCTGCTATTCTACGACGCGCGTATCGGCTATATAACGTTATGTAGGTGCGGCTAGGTACATTTGAGAACGCGGTGGACCTCAACATCAAGAGCTTCCGTGTGTTTCCCGAGGTGGCCAAGACGCGGCTGGACTCTGTGCCCAAGGAGAAGCCGATCGTGATGTTTTGCACGGGCGGGGTTCGATGCGAGAAAGCTGCGTATGCGCTGCAGCTTCAAGGACATTCCAACGTGTATCAGCTCGACGGCGGGATCCTTCGTTACTTTGAAAAGTGCGGAGGCGCTCATTACCGCGGCGACTGCTACATCTATGACGACCGCGTTGCGTTGACGCCTGCGTTGACCAAGGCCGAGCACATTGGGATGTGTTTCGTCTGTCGGAATCCTCTCACGCAGGACGAGCTGTCGTCGGCCGAGTACGTGGCCACCGTGAGTTGTCCATATTGCGTTGGCGGCAAGCGGTCCGACTTTCGGTCCGTCGTGTAGGCAATTGGTATTGAATGCAGCGTTTTGATTGGTGGACAGGATGTCAGGACGGTCGGTGATTGGCTGGATTCGAACCAGCAGATGCACTTGACGTTTGTATGTCCGTGGATAAACGAGACAGCAAGCAAATTACTTACGGAGAAGCGTCGACGCAGACTCTGAATCGGCGGCTACGACCTCGCTGGCGTGCCGCGCACAAGAACGACGATGACGTCGCTGAAGATTCCGTCCATCGAAGATATAGATGAGCAGGAACTGATGCAGTTCGATCGGCAGAGTCAGTTCGACAGCTCCACGATGGAGCGGCTCCTCCAGGCCGAGCAGAGCGTGCGCAAGGCGGCCCAAGCCACGATGGACGCGTCCAACATGATGAACTTTAACAGCAAGGCATCGGCCTCCAGCCTCATCAAATCGACGTCGTCGGCCGGGACAGGATTTGACGAAGCATCTGCATCGTCGTACGCGTCGTACTGCGTGCCCGAGCTCGTTCCACCGAGTACCGACAAATCCACACCGGTCTTGACCTCCGCAGGAACCCCGGTCGCGCCGACCGCCCCACTCCCTCGCCTAAAGTATCCCACGCCTGCGCACGGATACAACATGAGCTTCGAGATCCCTCGCAGTGAAGACGGGTCGACCGCACGCGCTGCGTCCTGTGCAATCACATCGGATCAAATCGACGGCGACGGACCGCCTGTCGTGCGTAAGATGCCAAGTCAGCCCATCTTTGGCGTCAAGGGAAGCAGCAGCGGTAGCCTTAATGGGAGCTCGAGCGTCGCAAACGGCTTGCCGCCGCCAGTCCCTGGGGCAGCACTCTCGAAAGGCAGCGACTCGATCTACACGTTCACGGTGAAAAAGGCCGACAACATTTTGGACCAAATGAGCAAAAAGTCAACGGTCCTCGTCCAAATCGACACCCACCGGCGGATGCTGTGCTTTTTGACGCCGACAAATCCGACGGAAAAGGAAGAGTTTTCCTGTGCGGCGGTCAATGCAAAGCCGTATCAAAAGTTTGGACTTCACTTGCGCATCGAAAAAGGCGGGCAGGCGCCCGTGATGAACCGGAAGATTACATTCTTTGGCGCAGACGACCGGGACCGATTCATGGAAGCGCTCGAGCAGGGCAAAGTCATGTACAAAACGCCCAAGAAGCTCGTGGTCAATGGCAGCCACCACGGATTCTCCGCTAGCCACATGGCCGGGAACGAGTCGAGCGACAGCTTTGAGGACCTGGACCAGTGGCTCATGGAGTGCAGCCACACGAGTTTCCCCGTCCAGGACCCCGACTTGGAGCTCACGCTACTCGAAGGCGAACACGTCGTCGAACACGTCCAGCGCGTGACCAACATGGTCGTGATCTCGCAGAAAGAACGCGCCGTCCAAGGCGTGATGAAGATCACCAACTATCGCATCGCGTTCATGCCATACGACACGTCCGCGCGGTACGGATCGTTTGAGGTACCGCTCGCGGCGCTCCTCCCGATCAGTCGCGAGGGCCTCAAGCTGAACCTGCCGTGCAAAGATCTGCGCAAGATCTGCCTCGCCATGCACGACGCGTACACGCACAAAAACTATTACGACGCTCCGCCGCAGACACCCGACGTCCGGTGGATTCAAATGCTCATGACCAAGATGCGGCCGCAGATCTCGATCTCGTCCTTGTTTGCGTTTACGTACAAAGCGGCCAAGGTCGAAGCCGGCCAGGTCGCGACCTCCATGGACATGAACCCGTGGCTCGTGTATAGCCCCATGAAGGAGTACCAACGGCTTGGGTTCCTCAGCAACGACGACAGCGCGGCCAACGACCCGAACGCCATCACGTGGCGACTGCTCAAAAATCCCAAGTGCCGGTTCAGTCAGACATACCCTCAGCTCATGGTCGTCCCGTCCTGCATGACGGAAGAACAGCTCGTGCATTCGGCCCGGTTCCGTTCGCGCGGCCGTCTCCCCATCGTCGTGTGGCGGCACCCAGACAACAAGTGCGTGCTTGCGCGATCTAGCCAGCCCAACTACGGTCTCCAGTCCAAGCGGTGCGAGGCCGATCGCATTCTTCTCAAGAGTTACCGCGACAGCGCCAACAAGAACAGCGGTGGCGTTGCCCCGCCATTGCACATCGTCGACGCGCGAAAGAACTTGGCGACCCAAGGCAACCGGTTCAAGGGCAAAGGCGTTGAAAACTCGAGTCATTACGACAGCGCCGTGGTCGAGTTTCTCGGCATCGCCAACATCCACAAGATGCGTGACTCGATTGAGTTGCTCCAGAGTACGTTCGGCCATCTTCCACAGGCGGCAGCTCGGCATCGATCATCCAGTGTTCATGTGTGGTGTGTTGCAGATCTGGTCCAGCCTAGCGTGAGTGACGACGGCCACAAGGGCTTCCACAGCAATTTGCACGGTGCGTACATGCAGTTGTGTGCTATCATGTCTCGTTTGATCGCTCCTGGCATTCATGGAGTGCCGCCGTGGATGCCCCATGCCTGTCACGTGGTTTGGCCCTTTCTTGCGTTCGAGGTGAGACTGTTCGACCTGACTCGAACGTCGGCTTTGTTGTAGAAACAAGATGGCTGAAACACATCATGAAGATTCTCGCGGGTGGATGCCGCATTGCACAGATTCTGCACGACGAAGGCGCGTCGGTGCTCGTGCATTGCAGCGACGGATGGGACCGGACGCCGCAGCTGTGCGGGATTGCCCAGCTTATTCTGGACCCGTACTACCGCACGATTCGCGGGTTTGCGTGCCTGCTCGAGAAGGAGTGGTGCTCATTCGGCCACAAGTTTCACGATCGCGTCGGCGTGGGCAAAGACGCGGCCGACATGCCAAACGAGCGGTACGACAAGTGTGTTGTCGGGTGGGTGCTCACGGGGGTGGATGGGAGTAGGTCGCCGGTCATGCTTCAGTTCATCGACTGCGTGTGGCAGATGACGCACCAGTTTCCGACGGGTTTCGAGTTCAACGAAAAGTTTTTGCTGCACATTGTCGACTCGCTCTTCTCGGGGCTGTACGGGACGTTCCTGTACAACTCGGAGCAGGAGCGGCTCAAGGTCCACATTTGGGAAAAGACCGAGAGCGTATGGGCGCCGGTGCTCGAGAACCCAGCGACGTACACGAATCCGCAGTTCCAGCGCACGTCGCGCGTGCTGTTTCCGCGCGCCAACTTGAAGCGCGTCGTCCTGTGGGAAGGGCTGTACTTTCGATGGGACCCCGAGATGCACCCTGCGTACGTCGAGTCGCTCGATCCGCTGTTCAAGGTAAACGGCCTCGCCTGTTCACCAGGACTGTCGAGCATGGGCTGGACCTGTGTGATGGTATCTTGCGTGGTCCTGGTGTGCCATCACTTCAATTCATCGTCGTAATGTCTTGTCGTTTGCTGGATGAGTTGCCGATGCATGTAGCTCACTTGGCTGCGGTGATGCGCCGTAGACCCAAGATGCGCACCAGGGCAGCGCGATCACGTCCGCGGCCCTCATCGACGAGTTTCGCTTGGAAGAAAACCATTTGTCCCTGTCGGCGACCCACGACCGCGCCGACACGGCAGTGTACTTGTCGGATGCGTCGTCACTGAGCGAGAATGACGACGACGACTACCCGGTGTCGAGGCCGACGATGCGGCGCAAGTCGATGCAGCAAACGCATGGCCTGCGCAACGGCTCATCATCTCAGTCACCCCACAAGGATGATGACACGCAAGCGATCAAAGCTGCGCTGAATGAATTTGCGTCGCAGGCGGCCGACCGCGCCCGGGAACGAACCAAGGCCAACATGCTGCGAGAGACCCTTGCCATCATTCCTGACAAGAGCCGCGTGAAATATTTAGAGGACCTGCTCTCCGAGAGCGTAGCGCGGGAACTGCAGCTCGAGGCCCAACTCAACGCATTGCATGGCCACCTTGGTGGTGGAGCAGGCAAAAGGACAGACGACGACTGAGGCGCCTTCGGAAGCGGCGGCGCTACCATGTTCCATCCATGCTACATGGCCCGAACGACCACTAATGCAACACAGATCTGTCCGTTTACATCTTGTCCGGTCGAATTTCCTCGAGACGGTGGCTGGTTTCATGCACCAAAGACGAGTTGATGGTGGTCGTGAAGGACACGCGGTTGCGTTCGGGTGCGCCATCGTCAGGTACGCGCCCTGTCAGACATACGTCAGTCTAACCGAGGTAGTACAAGTGTCAAGCACGCAATAGGAGCGCGAGCAGCGCAGGACATCCGCCGCGCCTGACACCTTGATGCGGGCTGTGCCAATACTGCATAACTCGAATCCCGTTAGATTGGATATTCTCTTAAAACCAATAATATGCCATCGGTTTACGATTAGAAAATGCATGAATGGACGACCTCTATAGTTTACAAGATACATTGCTTCCAAGCACGGCTTCATGTCAGGCGAGCAAGAGCCGCTGCTAGACAAGTCGGCATCGCTGCGCCTTCGCAGCAACTTGTCGTCCTTGTGGCGAACCGATACGCCATCAACAGATGCCAGTGCAAGACCTCCCATAGCGCCTGGCTCCACAAGCCCACCAAAGATTCCGTTCCAGGCCCCGTCGTCGACAACCAAGGTTTCGCTTGGACTGACGACGCTTGACGCCAGGCAACAACTCGTGGCCGCTGTTGAGAAACAACTCGACCGACAGCGAAAGGGCGGACATCGTGAGCTCTGGTTCGGCTTTGTCGACACGCCCATGTGGCTGTTGTTCCTCTCTGCGTGCATTCGCCTGGCCGAGTTTGCTTGGCGCGAACACCGCATTGAGGCGACCCACGAACCATCACATTTTGCTGACCTGGTTGAAAGCATCTTTCTCTTTCTCGCAGCTGTGTTTAACGGCTTCTTGAACATGCTGCTGTACCGTCGAGAGTCCCGCGAAGTCGCCGAGCGTGTCCATTATGCCGTCAAAGTGCTGTGCAAAGCCACGCCGCCTCCACAACCGACGTCTCCGCACATACCAATGCCTGTGAAGCCTCTAGGAAAGCGCGACAGCATTCTCGCGCCGTCTTCTTGCTGCGTGGCGTGCTATCGAGACCACAAATGGCAGTCCATCCCGATGAACCTTCTTGTTGAAGGCGACGTCGTGGCCCTTATGAGCGGTGATGTCGCGCCCGGCCGCGTTAGGCTCTTGCCACTGGACCAGCCACCATCTAGCTCGCCGTCCTGTTGCGTTGCAACCGATCCTTCGTCGTCCGTGAATTCGTCCATCTCGTACGCCCGTGGAGAGAAGATTCCGACCGCTCATTCCCAACCACTCGAAACCACGCGCAGCAATGCAACGTTCCAGCCACAAATTGTGTTAAGTCTCTGCGGAGACATGCACGTTTACGTCATGGAGGAGACGCCGGTGCTCCAGGACGTGGTCAACTCGATGACCAACGTCGAACGGCCTCGCACAGCCATTCAAACCTTGCAAGTTGGCGGCAAGTCGTTGGCATCGATGCTGTGTCTCGGCATCACGGTCATCGTTCTCTGCAGCATCGCCGTCCGGGCGATGCTGCTCCCCGAGCCACCGCACCACGTGATCAACCACGTGTGCCTCGGTACGGACCTCTTTGTGCATTTCGGCAATGGCGGCAATCCCACAAATGACGCTCCGTCATGACTGTTGTAGCGCTGGTCGACGTCATGTTGTGCTTCGTGTCATTGCATACGCCGTTCGTGTGGTGCATGGGAGAAGTCGCTGCAACTTCGCACCTCCTCACCGCCTTTGAAGCCATTCTCGAGAGCGAAGCAACGACCCAGGTCGCGCCGAACGCGGCGGCCGGACTCGACAGCGACATCGATATGGACGTGTACGACGTGGAGGAGCGAGAGCAGTCGCGCTTGCGCAAGACGAAGCGACCGTTTGCCGTGGAGCGATCGTGGTACGTTGTCATGGCGGTGTGAGTGAATGGCCCGTGGGAATCGAGTGCCGAGCGTAGGTACTACTTCTGGCTCACGCTCCAGTTTCGCGTCATGGACTGTGCGGATGCCCACCGCACGCGATATCACAACGGGAAGAAAAACAAACTGACGATTCCGTACTCGGGGTGAGTTTGCTCACCCAGCACACAGTGTCCCTGGCGTCGTGGAGAGCCCAGGGTCTCCAGCACAGTGGCGTGGCTGACTCCGCTTGCTTTGAGCTAGCGTGCGTCTGCTGGAGCGCCTTGGAAGCACGACAATGCTGTGCTGCTTTGACGACGACGTGCTGTGTGAAGAAGTGCCGTGCGCGGAAGAAGTATTTCTTCTCAACGAAGATACCAACACAGTCTTGGATTTACACCCGGAACCGCTGTGCACGACCGGTGAGGCTGGCGCCATCGTCGTCGTTGGTGTGAAATCCCGAACGTCACGTTTTGTCGTAGGCGAGAAATTTGAAGACCCCAAGTGGCGTGTCCATTTACCAAGCTTGAAACCTTTGGGCCTTGCCATTCTCCTCAACGACTGCGAAGATCCCATGACGGAATACTTGAACTCGTTGCGGCACTTGAGCAATGAGGCGTCGGCCGCGCCCTTTTACGAAGCGCACAACGCTTCGTCGTTGCCGCACCGCGAGCTGCTCCACTGTGTCCAGCAACTGTCTGGCTATGTGCGGCTGCTGCCGTACCCGCGGCATCTCCTCAATTTGGCCAAGTACACCAACTCGTGTATTTGACGGAAGGAGTGCTGAGTTTGGACCATGCGGGCTGAGTAGAGCGATCGGCTTCCGCGTCGACGACTTGGCCCATTTCAACCGACGCCAGAGCATCCATGTCATTGCCCCCCGCCTCGCATACGAAGAACACACGAGCGACCACCACGACCAAGGCCAGGACGACACGCGGTTTCGAGGGCATTTGAAGACGCATTTGTATTCGACGGTCGTGCTCGATAAGCGGTCGCAAGGTACAGCGTTGTCGCCGAGAGCTGTTCATGTCGTCGCCTGTAGGCCATCAACTGCTTAGCCGAGGCCATCCGTCGCTAGCAGTGTCGCAGTGCAGCGAATTCTGGGATGGCAAATCCATTTGCCCGTTAACCAAGGACAAGCGGCGGCTGATCTTGGACATGTACCATCAATGGCGCGTGGAAGACTTGGACTGTATTGCGCTCACGTACGCGCCGGTCGCGCAAAAGTGCAATGGCCTGTTCAGCGATGCCGACCATTTTACAAAACTCCCGCCGCTCTTTCTCGTGGAAGAAAGCATCCACACAGACGACGATCTCGACGACCACAAAACGCCGCTCGTGTCACCGGGCGTCGGTTCCGTCGGTTCAAACGACGCGCTCAAGCAGACGGCTGCGCTTTCTCCCAGTACGTTGATGGGGACGGCCGCCGCTTGAGTTGTTCGACGCGTGATGGTGTGTTTTGTTCTCTGTAGCGAGCTCAGCGAAACACCACACGACGGCATCGTCGACTGGCGTCGGAGGCAACCACGACCGGGACCTGTGGAAGTTACAGGAAGACCAGATCTTTCTCGGGATGGTGGCGTCCGGCGTTCAGCCGCGAAAGGGCATGGTCGGGCTCATCGAAGACGTGACGGCGTGCGGAATTCGATTCGTGTACTTTTCCCCACGCAACATGCGTCGATCCAAGCTGCTGGCCGAGAAAATGGGCATCGAAACGGACTGGAACTGCGCCATAAGTCTCCGCGACTCGGACGGTCCGGATCCGCATCGAATGACATCCAACTACTCGGATTGGGACGTCAAGGCCCGGCTGCCCCATGGTACGTCCTCCGTGGAACGGTGCGTTTTGTCCGCAGCATGGACGGCGTTCTAGGCACGGCGGCCATTCGACGGCACTTGGAGCTCGTCGACAACGTCCCGCTCCTCGTGTCGCTGTATACAGACAGCACCCCCGACACGATCAAAGAAATGATTTCAATCTTTCAAGAAAACCACGAAGTCGTCCTGGGGGTCGGCACGTCTCTCCGGGAAAGCAACGTCCCGTTGTTTGCCCAGGCCGACTTGTCCGTTGCGCTGGAAGGCAGCCCCCACACGTTGTTCGACACGGAGCTCCCCAAGGTATTCGCTTGCGCTCGGACTCTTTGACTGTCCGTCCTGACCTCGATGCACACAGGGCGCGCAACTGCCCGTCTTCTCCGACGTCGACATGGAATTGAGCCAAATGCTCAACACGCTCACGTGTTCGTTCACTGTGCGCAATTTTTCCAACACGCGAGTGTCGCCGATGATCCTCGTCGACTTGATCCGGCTGGGGCGGCACATGCTGACCAACTTTATCCAGCTCGTGCACTACATCTTTGTGATGCAGCTCTTCGTCGCGACGGTCGTGCTGTTTTCGTACGTGCTGCCGTTCCCAGAAGTCGCGTCCCTCGGGTGCATGTCGATTCTGTGGCTGCTGTGGGTCGTCGTGCCGGCGGTCAGCTTGTCGCTGCTGTCGTCGCCGCCTGACAAGCACATTATGACTCGGACGCCGCGAAAAAACGAGACGTCGGCGTGGAGCGACGATGCCGCCCGGCTCGCCGTCTACTTTCTTGTCCGGTACGGCATCGATCCGTGGTCGCCTGCGCATGTTGGATTCGATCCTTGCTGGTAGATACGTCCCGTCGGCAGTGTTTGTCAACTTTGTGTTTCAGTTCATTTTTGGCCTGTCGTTGCAGTATCGCGCCAAAGCCGCGGCAGTCGGCCCTGACAGCCACTCGTGGTGGTACTATGCGAACGGAGGTCCCGACTTGTTCGTACACCCGCGGCCACGTGCGATCATGGCCGCGCTGGATCGGGCCGAAGCGTTCCTGTTGCTCGCGATGGGGTGGTTTTGCATCTTTAGCAGCATTAGTCACCACTATCGGTCGTACAGCATCTTTTCCGAGTCGCCGTTCCGCAACCATTCGTGGATGTGGACGTGTGCAGTGCTCGTGGTCCTCCAGGTAGTGTGCGTTGTGACCAACTCATTTGGAAATCGCTCACGCGGTGAGTCAACAGGTTGGCGCGAGTGTGTGGCGGGCCGGGGGCCTCGTCGGCGACGACGGCGTGTCGCTCGAATCGTTTGTGGTGTTTATTCCGTGGTACTTTTGGCTCGCGCTGGGCGTGTGGCCGCTCCTTGTGCTCCTTGTCGACGAGCTTGCCAAGCAGCACGACCACCGACTCCTCATTCGATACTACAAGTTCCTCCGCATGCAATTCGACACGCGGCTCGGGATGTGGAGTCCAAAGTAGAACGTGCATCGTCAGTCAGTCTCAGCCTAACAACGCGAGGATCCATCCCGTTGTATACTGTCGCGCTTGGTTTATCACCCCGACAGCATCGCACTATAGGTGCACGATTTCCTCCACGGCCCACCCGTAGAGAAGAATTGAGTAGGGGGCAGAGCGCCGCCGTTCTCGGCACAGCGAAGCGTAGCAAGCAGAGGAACAACATGCCATCCAAGATGGCCAGCTGCCCCACGTCCTGTCGCGAGACTCAACACACCGACGTGACGGCTTTCATTCACGGATGCTGAGTTGCGAAATGGGCCATTTCGGACAAGCACGTCTGGCGCCAATTCATAATGGCGCATCAAGGTGTTCTGCGCTCAAATGCTAGGGCTCGTTGAAGTCGGCAGCCACGCGCCTGTGATGAACACGCGTGTGATGCTGGAAGGCGCCCACATGATGGGTTTGCAGCTGGCCGTTGACGTTGCAAGCGGACGAGCAAGCTGAATGCGCCGGACCAAGTGGACGCCACGACGACTACACGGCACGACCTGAACTTGTCCTTTGGGATAGAATGTGGCTAGTACAAGTTGGTTCAGGCACTCGAAAGCGGGCTCGAGTCTTGTCGGTTGATTGCATCATCGACCAAAGCGATGGCGCCAATCGTCCAAGTTGACCATATCGGCCACCGATCCCGTTCTAGAGTGACTCTTTCGTGCCATGTAGACCAGCGTCCGTCGCTTCCTTAAGCCGACTGGGAGCGCCAGGTGCAAGTGATGGAGTTGCCCTGGGTAAGCGCGCTCGACTCAATCGTGCAGCACCCATCAACGTTCACAAACACGTCGGTGGCCCATACCTTCTTCACGGCGCTCCCTGTGACCGCCATGCCCCACAAGGTCGTTCGCGAATCGCTACGATATACAAGGACGCAGCCCCGGTGTGGCTCGAGGACTTGCGAGCGGCGTCTTTAAGGGGGCGTCTCGCGAGTATTCCACACCACGGAGATTGTTGCGCTCGAGTCGTACGCGCGGCGCTACCGCCAACCCACGGCATCGACGAAGACCTTCGACACTGTTGCACCCGGCAAAGCGATGCGTGTTTCGGCCAGACACGAATGTACATTTGTAGCTGGAAACGGCAAGCGGATGGAGCAATGGATGGCTCACAACACACTGAAACTGCTTCAAATCGCACGTGCGATGGCTACGTTCGGGTGGAAATGATGCAGCGATGCCTCGCCAAAAGCATAAAGCTGTTCCTTGTCGCCACCAACGAGGACATGTATGACGTCGCAAAACTGCGCGCGATCAAGTCGGCGGCTTTTGCGTGGCACCGATGCGTGCTGGCCTTGGCACAACAGGAGACAAGAGGTGTGGCCCAGCCCACTCTTCGAGCGCGTCAATAGCACAAGCAGCAACGTTCGGCGATCGAGATGCTCTTATACAGCCTCGTAACGGAGAAGCGGTCGCGCCCGCTGTGGTTGACGAGCCAAGACCCTCGGCAAGAACAACTCCGTCGTTGCCATGGACCCCAATGTTGCTGGACGAACTGCGAGATGTGACCAAGTAACAATCTCATAAACAAAGTGACATCAACCTGGTTTTGTCCATCGACTCTGTGCTCTTGCAACAATGATCAAACGAAACGACGACGGTCCGCGTCGTAATCGCATTAACTCTTTGGAAGCGGCAGGAGAATGGACGTAGCTCGGCAGTTGCACTGCTTCATCATGTCCCCCAAAGATGCATTTGAAGCAGCGCACTCTTGCCTGATCCGACTCAACTGAAATGCACGACTTGACTGGTCGACAAACTAGTCTATCGTCCACGTGCGCTGCCATTCAACATCTCGCAGGCGTAGTCCACAGCAAACTGAAATCGGTTCACTTGGGGGAGTGCGGTATCACATTCAGCCTCCCGTTGCAATAGCCGCACCCGACCATTGCTGTCGGCAGTACGACGCGCCGTACTGCCGCCTTCCCCGTGACACAAGCGCCGCGTGAGTGCGGGTCAGGCGGGGTCGAGTTGGCTCGTGTTCCAGGTGCCATCGTCCACAACAACACACCTTTCTCTGTTGGAACTTCTCACCACACCTTAGAATTACCCCACGGGATTCGGAATTAATACGTACCGGGCGGACTTTGCATACTATTAATAGTAGTTTGTCTTCATGCCAAGTCTACTATTCATACAAGGTTGTACTAGATGACTCAATCATCCGCATACCTTATCCGGACAATTTGCCCACCATCTGTGGGCATTGTCGAGCTGGATTGGCATGCCAGTCGTCACTCCATTGTGCCTCGCTGCACGGTCAAAGCTCGGCTACCTAGTTCGTGGGATGTCGACCACGTCTGCCGCCGCAACCAAGCTGATTCGATTCCTCGATGCGTACGGGAACGAGCGTATTGGCCAAGCCCCGGCCCCAGGCACGTACCAGTCGCAGCTCATCACGGGCAAGGACGTGTTTGGGTCCAAAGCGCTGACGTCCCAGTTTGCCGAGGTCCGACGCGTGCTCGCGCCGTTCGTGCCAACTCAGATCATCGGTATTGGTCTGAACTACCGCAACCATGCCAAGGAAACCAACATGCCGATTCCAAACTACCCTGTCGTGTTTTACAAGAACATCAATTCGGTGGCCGACCCTGAAACCTCGATTGTCCTCCCCAGGCGCGAAGGCTCCCATGTCGACTACGAATGCGAGCTCGCGGTCGTGCTGAAAGCTCCGTGCAAGGATGTGTCCGTGCAGGACGCGCTCAAATTCGTCGCGGGCTACACGGTAGTGGACCATCCATTCTCCAGTTCATGATACATGTCGACGTAGTGCGCCAACGACGTTTCTGCGCGTCGGTGGCAAGGCAACGCGATGGGAGGAGGACAGTGGTGTCGCGCCAAGTCGTTCGATACGTTCTGTCCGCTCGGGCCGGTGCTCGTGACCCCTGAAGGCATCCCCGATCCGCAGAACCTCACGATTGAAACCATCCTCAACGACGTCGTCGTCCAGCGCTCCAACACAAAAGACATGGTATTTTCCGTGGCCGAGCTCATCAGCCAGCTGTCTCAAGACACGACGCTTCCGGCCGGGACGGTCATCCTGACCGGCACCCCCGAAGGCGTGGGGTTTACGCGAAAACCTCCGCTCTACCTCAAGCCCGGCGACAAGGTCGAAATCCGCATCCAGCACATCGGGTCGCTCTTGAACTACGTGATTGGGGCGTCGTCGCTCTAAGAGCTGTAACTTGCTCCGTTTTCACATCCTCGCCACGGGATTGCATCCACTGGCACGGCTGCAGGGCTCCGACTTGGATGGCGCGCGCAGGGTTGTTTGAGCTGCCAGACAACGCTCTTACATTTTGTGCTTCGTACAAGATGACGTCCTCGCGCGGGGCATGCGGAACCAGCTATCTCAGGTTTCATTGCCTAGGCAGAGTGGCCGCGCGCATGAAAGGGTTGAATGAGCCTGCAGTTGCTGCGTCATGGTTCTAGTGGCAGCAGCGGTTGTCTTCGGCCAGCACTGTCATTTTGGCGTGCGTGCAAAACACGTCGGCAAATTTCGACTCTGCACATTTGTTTTGGCATATATGCAGCTAGACTCGATAGATCGAGACTCTACTTCTTCACGCACGTGCCATACGCGTCGGGGATGGTCGTCGGGACCTTGCACTTGAGTCCCGTGTTGCACTTGATGCCAGCAATGCCGCCGCACTTGGCGCCTTCCTTGCCGGTGGGGATCCATTGGCACACGCCGGACGCGTCGGGTTTGTTGCTGCTCATCTTACACATGAGCCACTGGTCGCATTGGATGGCCGCAATGCCGCCGCACATGCCGCCGACATCGGCGGCAGAGATTTGGGCAACCGAAGAGGCAGCGACGAGGGCGATGGCAAGGACTTGCATGGTTCAAATTGGAAAATGATCGCCATGAAATCAACGTGTCGAGGACGTGGTCACGCAGCGGGCAACTCTTGCAACGGATGAGGGCATCACGTGTCGTGCACTTCCTCCTGCCACGTGCTTGGTGCGAGAGAACATTTCAGAACATACGCACCACCCACAGGATGTCGACATCATCCATCTCATGCCGAGACATGCCCAGACGCTCTTGGACGACACAACGTGTGACCCGTGGAGAAAGGCGAATCGCCCCTGCCGCTCCTGTACACGAATCAGGGCTCTTCGCCCTCATGCTGGACACACCGAGGATGTGTCCCGCGCCCTGGCTCATTTCTTGTGTGGTGTGGCGACAGCATGAGGCGTGCGGCTGGTGGGCGTCCTAGACTGCCGTCATCCTTTCAGTGTATGCGAGCCCCCGTCAACAGCTGCCATCACGTTTGCGCATGTCCTTTCAACGTCTTGAGCGTTTGAGCCCTCTACGGGCGGCGAGGGGGACATCCCGACGGATTTGTGGTATCATCCACAACGTCTACACGGCGCCCTCCCCCCGCCATCCATTCTTTCCACCCACTCAGATTGTGCAGAGTATGTGCAATGCGCCTGTCCATCAGGTTCAAATTGATGACAAAGCACGAAAAGATCAAGCTGACGACAGGTAGTTGTTGGCTCGTCCAACTACCTACCGCGAGCAGAGAAAAAAGGCTGGTAAAGGCGGCGCTTGGCCTCTCATGCCATCGAATCGTTGGGGCCACCAAACCACCTTTAGGTAGTGTACAGCGTCGTGCTCAGACCAACTTGGATCGCGGAGGCCTGCGTGGCCGCGTCATGTCGGTGTCTCCAAGTGGGATATCGTACAGGTGGGAGAGGGTGTGTGGGTGATTCGATGCCAAAGTCATGTCGTCCTTAGTCATCATCGCTTCGTTCTTGTTCTTGCCAGCCGCAACAACCTTGACGCAAAGAACCGTCCGCGTCAAGTTCCACCCACGACGATTTGCCATGAGAGAGGCAGACGTTGACACTCAGATCAAATCATGTTTCGTCAACACACGTGCTTCGCCACGTGGCTGATAAAATCCTCCGAACGTGCCCCTCTGCAGTCAGTGACATCTCTCTCTCGGACCAAGACGAAGACGATGCAGATCGTGTGGTGGAAGCACACAGGTTCAGTAGGTTTAATAAGCGGGCAACTGCTTGGACGCCATCACGTTGTGATGCCACCGCCGGACGACACGTTTCATGAGGTCGCGGTCGCTGCGCAGGTCGTTTTTCATCCGCATCGTTTGTTCAAACGCGAGCGACCGCTCAATGACGTGCTCGCGCTCGAGGACGCGGCACAGCTGGTTGTACGTGCGAATTTGGGTCGCCCGTTCTTGAGCAATGGCAAACCACGCCGTCCACACATTTCGGACGCGTCGTAGCTGCGCACGTCGAATCCACTGCTGGACCGTGACAACGTGCTTCCACCGCCATACGACAAGCCACATCCATCTCCTATGGCGTCGCGCCGCCATCGTTGACATGACTTGACGGACGAAGGTGACCCCCACCCACGTGTCAAACACCGTCCGGCGCACCCGCTGCTGTTGCTTCGTCTGCATTCGGACAAGGCCCACCGCGTGAAACCACCGCCGCAAGAACGTGCGAGCCAAGGCTCGACACCGCCGCGTGGCGTGGTATCGCCGTAGCCAGCGCACGGTCACGCCTTGGAACCACGCTTGAAACACACTCCGCACGACCTCGCGATTGCATCTTAGCACTGCCACGCGAACCTTGTAGCGTTGAGTGGCCGCCACCTTCCAACGCCGCAGCACTAAACACCGTGCATGAATTCACCCGAGGAGGGTAGCCGTCGTCGAGACGGACTCCTGGACGAAGAGGCTACCTTTGGACATGATTGCACGCTCTAGGACGCAGCACAACCCCACTCGAGCAAGCATCGTGAGTCGAACGACAGCGTTCCAGCCCCGAAACAACCTCGCCACCCGTGTAAACTCGACGCGTGTGCAGAGCCGCTGGGCGTACAGCACCTTCACCCATTGTCCCCACCACGTGGCGCGGCGGTGAAATATCACGTGAGCGGCTATTTGTTGCAGGTGGTAGTGCCGGCGCCACGCTCGCCACCCTTCCGCAAGGGTGACACCACGATGGTGCTTTGCAGCGATTGCAGCTACGTGATGGCCGTAGCGCTTGGTTTGCACAAACCTGCGCCAAGACCGAAGTCCGCGGCGTTGGCCGGCCTGCATGCCGCTGTAGCCTTGTCGTGCAGTGTCATGCTACAAAAGAAACAACGATGAGTGCGTTCATGAAGTGCCAGCACCGCCGTCGATAGTACCAATACTTGTTGCCACACTCGCCACACCTGCACGAGCACATTCTGCCGGCGGCGGCGGCTACCGACATACAATCGATGCCGCAGATCTCGCTTCAGTGAAACCTGATTGTGCCATGACGCAATTCGACGGCGGACGTGCCACTGATGCATGTGCACCAACGATGCGGTGGCCCGCTGCCGTCGAAACGTGTTGAGTCTCACGAGCGCTGCCCACGCAACAACGTGCTGCCGGGCCACGTGCTGATGGACGGACAGCATCAACGTGTTGAAGTACCACAGGTCATGGAGCTTGGCCACGGCGGCTTTGCAGCGATGGCGCTCGAAGTGTAGCGTGGCGCGACGATACTGCTTGGTGCGTTCGGTGCGCCATGTATGGTAGGTATGCCATTGCAGCCACACGTTGTGCTGTACATGGTGCCGATGCCAAGTGGCGGCACCAGTCATGGCCCGCTTGGTGGCGCGGCACTGAGCGACCAGACACTTCCACAGCACCCAGCACTTCCGCTTGACGTGAAGGCGACGGGAGTGAATGCCTTGCAACGTCATTTGGCGATGTTCAAAGAGCGCGCGCCATTGAAAGTACCAACGTCTGGACGCCGCCAGGCGTACCATGTGGCCTTGCCATGCTTGGAGCTGCTGCGCTTGGCTGAAGTGGGCGCTCCACTGCCGCACCCCCTAAGGAATCACCGTAAACGACAGGGGAGCTTGGCGTGTATACCTGATGGAGCTGGCGACGATACACTTCCTTGCATTGAATGGCTAGGATTTGACGAATATAGCGCTGCCGCGACGACGCGTTGGCCCAATACTGCCACGCTCTTCGGCCAAGCTCCATTGTTCGAAGTAGACGGCGCTGCACCACCTGCATGCCTTCATGTCACTCTTATCGACTCCATTGCGAGCTTCTTACTTGACCCGTGGCCCACGTTCGCCACTTCCAAGCCTTCAAATGGTGCCGCATGTGCTGATGCTCGTGGAAGCGGGCCATGGCTAGAATTCGCTCTTGCCGTGCTTGTCGGTGGGCAAACACCTACTCAAGCCGCGCCACAAGCGTGACGGTCAAACGAGTTGAATCATCTTCAATGCGCGATACGTACCCCTCGCCACCGCGCCCACACCAAGACGCAAGCTCTCCGCAGAGTTATTAAGCGAAACGCGACTGCTTGCTGCCATAACGTACGCCGGCTTTGATATCGCCTCACCCACGCGACAAAGCATGCTAGTAGGCCCACGAGGCGATACCGCATGTACCGCTCCCGGCATTCGTTTCTCGCCGCACGTAGTCTGCATGTGAGGTTTCGCCATTCCATCCATGCAAAGCACAGGCGCCGGTGCTCCTGATCTTGCTGCACCACATACAAGTGCGCACGGCGGACGTGCTGGGCGACAGTGTACGATTTCCATGCGCGCAGCAAGCTCGCGGCGCGTGCCTTGAGTTGACGGATAGCGCACTCGCGAGCTTTCTTTTGGCCCGTCGCAACATCCCGCCACAGTCGCATGACAAGCTTTCGCGTCCATTTACGATGAATCTCGCGATATTGCGCCATCCACAAGTGCTGCAGAGCGTGGGCGTCTTCGAGAACTGCGAGCCACTCAAACAGCGCAAGGGGGAGGTGCCGCGTGCGCTGCAACCGGTCATAGTGGCGCTGGGCCAGTTGCATACAATAGCGTTGCCGCTGCTGCCACCGTCGATACGTGTCTATCGCCACCAGGACTCGCCGCTTCGACATGACGTTGTGCTGGTCGCGCAAGTAGGTTACGCGCAGGCTCTGGCGCTAGAAAACGAGCGATATTCACTACTTGATACCCAAAGATTGCTACCTGCTTGTCGACGACTTGTCGTTTCCACGCACGAAACCAAAGGCTTTTCCGCTGTGCTGCACGCTTGCTGTGGGTAGCCGCTATGTACTGCCGCACGCGGTGCGTGCGCTTCACAAACACTTTCCAGTGCGCGACGAGTTTGAACAGAAGGCGATCGGTGTAAATCCCATCGACAGCATGGATTCGCTGGCGGGCTGCAAGTGCCTGGCGCCACTCGATCCAGCCACGAACACGTCGCATGGCTGTCCACGCCGTGTGGGTCATGTGCTCCAGCCGACGCAGGCGCTTCTTTGTGTGTAGCGATCGCTCGATCCACAGAGACAAACGTCGGCGCGCTCGAAACCACGACATGTGGCGAAGTTGCTCGTCGCGGCGACGGAGCATCGCGTCAAGTGCGTGCCACGTCCTGGCCAACACGGTGTGGCGTGAAAAATTCTATCGCAAACGTGTAAACCGGGACAGATTTCTGCAAGGCGCACGCATCTACCTGGCAAAACAGATCGATGGCATGCATAGCTGCGACACCGTGCTGCCAATGCTGTAAAGTCCTGGCTAAGACGACTCGGATGAAATGCTGGGCTGCCACAGCACGGCGCTCTTTGGCAAAGACCTATCCATCTCGTGAGCTTCTTCAGGGTGCAAGTTGGTTCTTGTACCTTGGCCTTGACCCCACATTGCCACCGTAGCCACCACTTTTGGACGGTCAGTCGTCCAGCGCGATGCAAAATATCCCTATGGCGTCGGCGGCAGTCTCCAAATGACAGCCACGCCTGCCACATGCGCCGAAGTATGCCGCAGGTAGCGTGGCCCGTCCACCGGTGCAAGCAGATCTCGATTTTCCTCGAATGACACGCCTTTGCATGCCACGCCCGCAATCGAGTCTTGGCTCTCCATTGCATCATGTACGACACCTGGAGGCGACGGTGAGCCCGTAGGCGCAAGCCGTGCTTCCACAGTCGCCACATCCGCCCCACGAAGAAATGCAGCGACATGTCATGCCGAATGCGCTTGCGCTGGGTGTTCAGGTTGTATACAAGCCAAACCCCCCACAAGGTGGCGAGATGGCGTCGCTGGAGCAAGTGGCGATGGCTTCGACTAATGCGCTCCAGGGTCGATGCACGGCACCAAGTCATCCACGCGCGGCGTTTACTAGCGAGATTCCAACTGTAGCTCACGTGTGCGATGGCCGGGGCCACCCTTAGTCGGTTCCTCGCTCGGTACGCGACAAAACGTACCCAGTTCGAAAACCAAGCCTGGCTTCGCCGACCAATCATCCACACCACGTTGCGCCGCAGCCTCGCGCGATGGCGAACAAACTGCTTCCACGCGCGCCACGTCACGAGAGCCTGGAGCTTGTCGTCGCGACTCCAGTACTGTCGTCCTCCAGGGAGGGTGGTTCGTGAAGGCACGTACGGTTCAAGTGGGTCGTCAGGAAGCGCGGAGAACGGCAGTGGCAACGGGCTTGTTTCCATTTCCCCAGGTACATGCAGCGGGGATGCATTGCTCAGCAGTCGGTCGAACGCCGCCCAGTCATTGCGCCGGCATGTGCGCAGCATGGCCGTCGGCAACAGCACCAGATCTTACGCAGTCACCGATCAAATTAATAAAACTAACATTCTATTTAAAGTAGGTATTTGTATATGAATTGGCACAATAAAAATACCACAGGAAATTCGAATGAAACATGTAGCCAGGCTGCCAGGCGTCATGATGGTCGAAGAAGGATGCGTGCGGTGGTGAGTCGCACGGCGCCACACACGTGAGAGGGCACAATGGAATGACAAGATTGTGCGAAGGTCCGCAACGCACGAGAAGCATGGGTCCTCGTGGATGCTATTGCCCGGTGCGTCCACGGGCGGAAGCTACCGCCGTTGCGAGGTGGCGCCCGTGTGGTGAAGAGACTAGCCGTCCACACAAGCCTACCCATTCGGTTCGCACTGCATTGTAGCCAACGATCGTTTTGTGGTCCCTGTTCACCTACGGGCAGATCGTTGTGTTGCCAAATCGATTTGATGATTCACAACGTTTATGAGGCGCCGTCGACGTCCTTGCTTTCGACCACGCGGTAGAAGCACGTGTCGTCGGTCAAGGTATTGCCGAGGTCGCGAAAGTGCCGATGGACATTCTTCGTCACGTGGATAGCTTCCTGGAACACGATGTGGTCACGTTGGGAGGAGCTACGTGGACACACACCTGAATATTTTCAATCGAGAACGTCAACGACTCGTTCACAGAGTCCATGCGAAGATGAGGTGCCTCAAACGCGTGCTGGCACATTGTCCACGACGCAGCTTGTGCTCGCAAGTTGGCAGCATCTACAAAAGGGAACGTAGCACATGAGCACAAAGTGTGCTGTGGGTCGAAATGTACGGAGTGCAGCTAAATGTTGCTCGATCTTTAGCGGCTCATCGGGCATTTGGCTTCTGGACAGCGCGGGTATGTTGGCTGACTTCAATGCCTTGGCCGTTGCTTCCGACGCTGTTTTGTTGAGCAGCTTTGCGTAGTCCCGAAGCATTGTGGGCATTTGCGGGATTGTCGAGATCGGAGGCATGCGTTCCTGCAGCTTCTCCAAGTGAGACTGCACAGCTTTCTCGATCTTCTTGCTGTCCATGGCGGCCTCCGCAATGCCGATCGACGTGTTTGTAAAATGTCCGACCGGATACCATTGCAATTGTTCGGATAAAACCGGTACACACTAATTCAGTGTTGTGCTCACACTATTCAACTTGGAAGCGTTACTCTATCACAATCCTCCGACATCACGAGATGGCAGCGACTCCTCCACTGAAGGGAGATGCAAGGGAATCCTTGCTGCTGGTGTATTTGTGCATTCGACGGTGCTTCGCCTTTGCGTGGCGGCAACCGAAATTGTTTAGAATCGTCAAACGCGAAGCGGTGTGTCCTGTGTGTACGCCATTATGCTGGGAAGGCGCCACCAAGAGCTCAAATCATCAAGGGACGTTGTGTTTTACAATGTTCTGGTGATGGACTCGGTATTCGCGGTGATTTGAGCAATGTTTGAGCGCGTGCATCCATCATCCACACGGGAATATCCGACGAGAAAACCGAACGCACTACGTGCTCGACGTCAGCGTACGTATCGACAAACGCAATGTGACGTTCCGAGGATCACGCGCAGCTGACGAAGATGCGTCGTGTCGAACTTCAACTGTACTCGTGTGGCAAGGGGCGGGTTGAAGGGGCGAAAGAGGGTGGCAGTTTGGGCCTCCTAGTTGATCCATGTTATAGTTGGAATTGAGTTCGTAACTGCAGAGTTGTACACAAATGTGCTATGCTCCACAAAACCAATCTATACGTGGTATCTGCTCAAGAACTGTATGCATACCCCCCCCCCCGATCACTTAAACCAGCCGGACGAAATGGCTTCGTAGCCGTACCATGACCCTTCCCAATGCAACTTGACGCACTTTGGCGACTGCGGGCTACACGGGTCGTCGGTGCCTCGATGAGCCAAGCATTTTCCCTCAAGCGTACAGCGCCAACTGGTGATACTGCGACTTGAGCGACGCGACACTGGGCTGTCTTTCTCATGCTGGCTGACGTTCTTCCATTATGGGAGACAAACATGGTGCAGGGGCTCCAGATGAGCATCTTGGACCTCCACGACATCCCGACGCCATGTGCGCTCCTTGCACAGTACTCCTCTGCCTGGTCGCTCGCAGTACTTGGAGTGGTCGTGGCGGGACAACAGTAGCAAATCCTCGGGCATGAGATACAAGACCCCCGGCGGATCCAGTTCATTCAGACGACCGGGATGGAAGCCTCCTACACATCACAGTCATTCGGTACGCGGACGACAAGTTATTCTGCAACAGGCACGGTCAACTCGTGCGGAACAACTTCAGACAACAACAGGTGCGCCGTGGCTTGGTTGTGCACGGCGTTGCTCACTGTGAACGTTGGTGTGAACATTGCTTCGGCGTGGACAAGGCGCTCCACGACTTGCATTTGCGTTATGTTTCAATCCACTGGTTCGGGCTGTCCATCCTTCACATCTCGGACGACAACGACTACACCTCGGCGACGGGGGGACTGTTTTGTCGTGGGTGGCGAGCAATGCCCCCGTGGTTCTTGGCGTCGTGTATCAACGGTTGTCGCGCGCATCGGTTGGAGATCGCAGGTATACCGCAGCGACTTGCCACGTCCCCGACTCGGTGGTGTCGACGAAGCGCTAGACCATTTGAAAAGTCGCGTCAAAGCAGCGACGGCCGTGTCATGGACACTCAAAGAGGAGGCGATACGAAATGTCAAGCACAAGGCGACTCTGGCTGCCACTTTTCACGAAAACATGAGCGGTCTGCACGAACAATGGATGGCGCTGCTGACCACGTGCCTGGTCCTGTGGCGATTTCGGCGCAACAACTCTACGATGGCCAACGTGGTGGTTCGCAAGGGTACCAACATCCGACCGACGCTATTGACGCGGTCTCACTGATTCCACACCCCGTTCCAGTATCATGCGTGTGTGAGGCGGCGCACCAACCTCGCCGCAGCATGGAATGTTCCGCCCGACTAGACCACAGCACAGACGCTCGATTGCTGTGATGGAGCGTTCATGCTGTGATGTTCTAACGAGGTCCCCAAGAAAACCATCTCTACTACGACGAACGCCTCGACTTCCATTGTCGAAACCCCCAGGCGACGTCATGCCTCTGTCGCAATGGCATCAAAGAAGGACGATCTGCCGAGACTGTGCGCGTGAAACGAGATGGAGAACGATGGCAGTATTGGTTAAATAGGTGGCATGAGGTTGCGTGATGTCCGCCTCGGTCTTGCGCTGTGTTGGATCTTGGAGTGGAGCAGGTCCACGAGATATGCAACGTGGCCCTCGGCAAAGTGGGTCAGGGCTTCTTCGACGACCAAGGGGTATCGCATCCACGCATGCATGGCTGTCACCAGGCCAAAGCATGACTGCGACGAAAGGGCATCTGCGGCCACCCGTCTGTCGTACCCTTCTTCGACCAGCGCTGTCAGGGTAGCCCGGATGGAATCCCGCAGTTGCGAGCGCTTTCGAGCGGCTTCGACGACAGCTGGGGCCACGAGGGTGAGGCGGTGGGCTCTTGTCGCTTGCTTCGTGACTGTGCCCCACGAGTGGATCAGATGGTGATGGACAGGGCGAAGACTTGGCCCGGCTACCGGCGCCTCTGGGACCACGCGGGCCGTGTGCATTACCCTGGTGGCGGATGTGCGAAGGGTTCGCATCGCGTCGACCCGCTGCATGTGCCGCAGACACGTGGCGCGAATGGACATCACGATGTCATCCACGAGAAAGAATACGCCGACTGTGGCCTTGTGTGCCACGTGCGCCTGTGCTTGGATCAAGTTGGCGATGAAGGCAGCGCTAAAGTGCACCGCGGGGTCTTCTCGCCCTTGCTTGTGCTCGATCCACTTGGTGCAATCGAACAGGATTTGCATCACGCCGCCCACGAGGACTGTCGATTCCAACGTGTGGCGGTGGGACGCGACAAACTGCGACAGGTGCTGCATGTTGAGCCGCTCGACAAAGTGGGGCTTGGACCGATCCGAGTGTTTCCAGTGCAGCGCGTACAGTTTGCACAAGGTTCGGGCTGTCGGGATCGTGAGCGCGCCGTCTGGACGTGATACCATCGTGCACAGCACATAGATCATCGTGACGTCGGTCAGCTGGACAGCGGACATGGTGTACATGTCATGGAGAATCTTGGCGGCGGCATACCGCGTCTTGGCGTACGTCGACCGGACGAGGTCGACAACGACAGCGACGATCTTTCGTAGCCGTTCGTCCGAGACGGGGTCGGTCCTGTACGACCAAAATTCCATCGTCGCATTGGATTGCATGGCGGTGTGGGTTGTCATGATGCTGTCGACGAGGTGTTTCAGTACAAGCCCTCCCGTCGGCTTGAACGAACAGAATTTCTCGCGCAGGACGTCGGCCACTTTGGCTTGGACATGCATCTTTTGCACGCCCTTGAAGCGACTCGTAGCTTCCCATAGCCCGAACGGCAAGCACACCGACGCCCCACTGCCTTCGTGGACCCCCGCGGCCATGGTGAAGTAGTTGCGCCAGAGCGTCCACATGGCCTGGCACGTGTACAGCAACGTCATGTCGCGGTCGTCATGGTCAAGCACGTTAAGGTTGTCGTGCAGTTTGGCGACCAAGTTTGCCTTGTACTTGACGCTCCACTGCGATTGATCTTCGAGCGTCAAGGACACGGCCGCCACGGCCTTGACGCGGTGGTTTGGGTGGTCGAGCGCTTTTTCGAGCGACATGTTTGGGATTTCAAACAGACTCGCGCGGCGGTCGTTTATCCGCCACACAACGCCCAAAAACACAAACGACATCGCGAGCACACACCACGACACCACGCCCTCCGCCGACGCCAGGTCTTTGTCAATGGGCGTGCCACGGGCAATGTGGTACACCGACAACGCGCCCAAGTACACGGAAAAGTAGCACGACATCGCAAACGCGACACTGCGCAACGTGTTGAGCAGCTTACCCACGCCAAGGCACTACGACAACGTCAGCCACGGCAGCGATCGCCCCACATGTATTCGCACCGGTTGATGCTTGTAGTTGTACCGCAGAAGCAGGTAAAACATGGCAAAGTTGACGAGAGCCGCGGCCACGTACACCAGGTTGTCGTCGACGTACAAGATAAACTTTTGAATCGTGATGAAAAAGAGGCAGCACGCTAGAGCGACCTCGTGAGCCCGCGACAGAGGATGATGCAGGCGTACCAGTCCGGCAGTACGTCATGAGGGTATAGTACGACGTCTGGAAGCGGAAGCGCACGGCAAACACTTGGTCGCTAAAGTGCATCTTGTACAGCAACGTGCCTAGTTTGTCCAGACAGTGACCGACTCCTCGTGCGTCATCGTCCAAACATGCAGACGTACGCCAGAAGAACACGGCAAACGACATGGACGCGACTACGACAAAGTGCCAATACCGCTCGGGGTGCGCGCACGTCGACCCGTCGGGAAATGTCAGCGAGTCCATGTCGCTGCTGCACGCGCCAATGTCGATGATCGCGTACAGGATCGTCGTGTAGCCCGTATCGTACACGAGCGGGCGAATCACGTGGGTCAGCACACGCTCCATGCGGCGGGGGCGGAACACGTCGACGACGAGGACGGCGGCAAACGCGGCAAACTTGGCGACTTGATACTCCCATGCGACGTCCGTAGGGGACGGCGTCGTGATGTCGTACAAGATGAGCTGCAGCGGAACGTAGCTGAACACGCCGATCTCGATCACGATGGACAGGATGACCCAGATGCGGCGAGGGTCGTGGATAGTACGGCCAAGTACGTGTTTTTTTTGCCGGGCCACAACCACGCCAAGAGCTGTACGAACACGAAGATGAGCCATCGTGTGCCGCACGACGCGTTACCTTGTGTGGGAATATCGTGGAGGTCGTCCACACTCGACTGAAATTCCTGGACCATGTTCGAGTACCAAGAAAACGCCACGGCGAGCACAAGAAAGATGCTCCACATGAACGCCACGCCGTCCACGTCGAGACGAGCCAACCCGCAGCAGCGCCAGTTCGTGCTGTGGTGCTGAGAGCAGATCGCAGCCCAGTCGAACGATGATGTGTTGCAGAATGGAATTGGGGCAGTCTGCCACGCACATGCGCGACGACTGTTGTCGCCGCCGCCCGCACGAGTCAAGTTACAGAGCGGCAGGGCCATCGAGGTCAAGCCTCGTCATGCCGTCACGGGATTCAGGGATGGTAAGAATAGGAATCTATTTCAAGGGCGTAACCCCCACTGGGTCAAGACGTCGCGCATCTCGACGCGCTTGACTACGTCCCTGCAAGGCATCGAGGCTGCCATGAGTCGTTGGCATCAGTGACTGAGAGTCGAACCAACCCACCTGGCCATGTCGTTTGTAAAGGCCAATATGCGCGCGATTGCGTCAACTTGGTTGGCGGCGACGCTACACAACACGCACAAGCGATATGAGGAACCTGGCGAGCGATGCGCGGCCTTCGTACACAATCCCCGACCGTTGAACGAAGTTGAGGAAGGCGCGGGCTTTGGTCAGCTCAGCCGACTTGACCACCGCTCCTGGAGGACTCGAGTCGAATGCAGCATGCAGGGCGGAGAAGTGCGAAATGACTTGATGGGGCTGGAACAACCGCCACCCCCTTCCAACGACGTACCGCTCCGAGCTCGCTGGCCGACTGGTCTACCCGAGATCGTCGATGCAATGGTCGATTTAGATGGCGGATGTACCACGGGCTTTACAATCATGAGCTCGTCAAAGAGGTGGTGGAGGACCCAGAGGAGCCCGAGCGAGAACGTCGACGACAGTTCAAATGTTTTGCAAACGAAATGGCCGCCGCTCCGAAGCACGCGGCACATGACCAACACCTCGCACAACACCAATCGATGCATGACCTGCTCCTACTCACTGTGCCATGAGGCCAACGAGCTGTGAGCGAAGGCTGTACTTGGTTTTCGTGGTTCCTCGCGTCCTGGAAGCCTCCGTCTGCCACGACCAAGTTGACGCCACTTGAATGGGTCTCGAGGACCTGCAATTCCATACGATTGGAGTCCGATTTCATCGAGGTTGCCCATGTCGTACCGAGTGGACAAAGTGCTCGATGTTTTCTTGTTTGTACAAGTCCCCCGTGCCATCGGCGCCGTACAATACGGAAACAACGTCTTGCACCGCCGGCGGAAGCTGCCAGTTCAAGTGGGACATTCCCGGCACTCGAAGCGAGATCCCGTGGCCACGGACTTCGCGGTAGTTGGCACGGAAGGCCAGGTACTCTGAAAAGCCTCCAGGGGCGCCACATAAGTCGACAAAGGACAAATGGCCATCCGCAATGAACTCTCTCGTCAAGTTCAGCCGCGCGTCGAGCTCGGCCATTTTCATCGCCGACCGATTGACGAATTTCCACTTCCCCAACGATTCCCACGGATTCGCCAGGGCACGCGCCACACGGTATTCCGCTGGGGATAGACGTTTGTCGTGGAGATTTTGCTTGGCGCTGAGAAGGGATTTCAACGCCTCGGCGAGCTCAAGGAGGAGCAGCGCCGGAGGCTCAGCTGCCGTTGAGTCCAGAACTGTTCCCAGGGTATCGTGGCTCAAGCACGGCATGGATTTTCCACACAGAACCTCGATGGGCTCTGGGACGTATTCGATCTTGGCAGCTTTGGTGTGTTGTTTTCTCGATGCGCTGCTTCGCTTTCGCTTGCCAAAGCTGGCAAACCCAAGTAGGTCTTCCATCGTCGCCTCCATCGCAAGTCGAGATTGCCATGCACATGGACATGCACGTGTTTGATTTGCTGAAATTCAGTCGAATTTTCCAGGCTCCTCCAATGAACACATTTCAAGACGAAAGTTCCACCAATTACATTTCTACAGCGTCTTTGCGAGCGTGTTCATACGCGGCAGGACGATGAGCGCCGCCGACAGGACCAACGGCACGCCGATCATCCACGACGAGGTCCTCCACGACGACGCCGACGGCGCGACCTGTTGTCCGTCCTTTTCTTGCTTGGACGCCCAGTCGACTGGAAACCCCATCATGCTGGCCACTTCGACAGCGGCTTCCGTGCCACTCTCCTGCAGCGGGACGGCGTACACGCAGTACGTGCTCGAGAACCACAGGTTGCCACGTCCTTGGCGAGCGCGAATCTTCTTCACGAGCTCATGGGATGTCTTGGTGAAGAGTGGGCGAAGGAACTCCGCTCGGTGAAGGACCAGATCATCACGGGGGTCCACGAGCGGGTTCCATGTTTGAAACAGCGACTCGGCATCTTCCTCCTTGGAATGGAACTTGGCAACCCACAGTGTCACCATGTTCTCGACGATGCCAGGTTTGAGTTTCTGTCCGGGCTTGGCCGTGATGAAGTTGTAGAACGACCAGTCGCGGCGATCGCGAGGCATGAGGACTGGGTCGCGATGGATCACGACCTGGGCAGTCTCATGGGGCACGGCGGCCAGCAGCTCGAGCATTTCTTTGTCTGCATCCTTGACAAAGGACAAGGCACTGCACGCTTGCGACGACACCACGATGTGATCGAATTCCTCGACGTTTTCTGGGCCTTCGATCCCAGTCACGTATGCGATGCGCGCTTTGCGGTCCGCTGTTGCTTGCCACACGCCAGTGACGCGGGTGTCCACGAGGACCTTTTTGCAATGGCGTGCGAGCTGCGACGCTGCGACCGTCGAGCCGTGCTTGGTCACGACTTGGTTGACTGCGTTCGACTTGGACAAGTACGTTTTGAGAAGACCTACGGGGTAGTTCAAGCATGCTTCGTTCGAGCACGTCAAGATCATCGTCATCATGGGCAACAGGATGCCGTACAGGTACTCGGGGGTGAACTGGTGGGTGGTCACGTATTCGCCGAGCGTTGTCGTGGGCGGAATGCCGTCCATGGACGACAAGAAGAACTGGACGTGGTCATAGATTGCGCGGAATGAAAACTTGCGCAAGATGGCGGCAAGGTGCCAAGGCGACGGAAGACGGAGACCACCGATGCGCCAGCCCATCGCGTGGCAGTAGAATGCAGCCTCACCAAAGTTCGAGAACGACATATCCCCTGGGTACGGCACAACTTCCACGCCCGCTTCTTCGTACATTGCGGCCAGGTTCACGTAGTGCGCAGCACAGAACGATCGGGGCGGGCAGTCGACGTGGTGGTCGCCGACCTTCAGCGTGTGCACTCCCATGCCCAAGGCCTTCTCAGACTCAATGATTGTCACATCGTTGTCCGGGTGTCGGCTGAGCAAGTACGCCGCCGAGAGCCCCGAGATGCCGCCGCCGATCACTGCAATCTTCATCGCGACGTTGGTGGAGAGTGGGAAAATGGACAGTCGATACCGCGATTGCATCCTTCAGCCAATCAGAAGCGTGATAATTCGTGGACTTTTTGGACTCGAAGTGGGACAAACCCACTGTTGAGTGAAATTCCATAAACTAGTGTATACTCGGGTGGATGTTGGCTCCACAGCCGTCAATAACGCCACCCCCACCTCTGTGCAATTTGAGTCGAACGCACAACACATCGGCATTCATGGTGCTGTGTTCATCAGCGTTGGATGGACAATGGCAGCTCACAGAGTGAGTGAATTCGCCAACATACGTTTGGCAAGCTAGATTTAACACTATTTCCGACAGTGTGGGAAATTTGGCCATTTTTTCGACAAAACGGAACGAATCGATGTGGCCGTCGATGTTTATCCCAGTCATCAACGGTTGGGACAAACCCGAGGGATTTTGAGCGGCACAGGCGTGGAGTCGCGGCGGCTCATGAGCGTGCATCTTGCACAGGCATGTCCAGCGACTTGTGCGCTCCCGCTGCTTCGGTGGCGTTCTCTAGAGGGTGCGCAGGATGGGACTGGAGCGTTGCCACTTTCTTTTTGAGCTCGGCCCACAGTTCATTTGCTCCGTCCACATTGTACACGCCGACACAGCTCACTCGAATTGTCTTTAGCAGCGCTTTGCCCAGCTTTCGTCTGGCCCATCCATAAGAACCAGTTACAATGCAACAAAACGTACTTGGACAGGGAAAAGATGACTGGAATCCCATGGACCCGCGCCAAGTTGATGAGCTCCATGACGATATCGTCCAGGCCGCCTTCGGCGGCACATTCGTCGATGTTGTATGCCACGAGCAAGCACACGACTTTACCATTTTTCAACCCTCGTTTGACTTCGCGCAGCCCAAACACGAGCCTCCGCGTCTTCTTGGCTTTCAGGGGGTTGGTCAGGCGCGCTCGCTCCTGCAACGACACACTCCACACTTTAGCACATCCTATCCACATCTCCCCGTGCTCGCCACGTACCTGTAAACTCATCAATCGGCCTAGAAACGCCACCACCATCGATTCCACTTCACCACCAACGTCCACGCGCTAAGGAATTACGCCCGTGAGACGATCTCTCGCTGAAGCTTGATACATGCCCATTCCAAACCCTTGAAAGGCTCCTCCTTACCTGGTCCACATACTCTCGAATCGCTTGGGTATTGGGCAACCTCCGTGGTGGCGGCAATTCGTTGATAGCCTCGCCCTTGTTCGGAGATAGAGCTTGAGCTAGGCCCACATCTGTATGCGCTGAACCATGCGCCGACCAGACAGCAGTGATAGAAGTGCCACCGTATGTCTTATTGTGATAGGCACTGGCGACTTCTTTCGCTTGCTTCGGCGTGGCATACTCCAGCGTGATGTGCCCTGTCGACCGGTCGATCTCAACGCGGCTCGGTGGGTGTGGTGTCGTCCCGAATGTGGTTCGCACTTCGTCCAGGATTTCGTCGAACTCGTCGGGATCTTCCATCTCGTCGGCATTGCAAAACCCACGGATGACCACATTGCGCGGTTGTGCACTCCCGACTTCGTCGACTGCAGCAACGACAAGACAGCTCACATGCTGCCCACCAAACACAGCATTGTCCAAGGACATCGCGGCATTGGTCGCACTGGCCGCATCGTCGTATTCGATCTCAATTGTCCCAGTCGCTCGGTCGAGTGCCAGCGACGTGATCGCGCCAAACTTGGCGAATTGACTCGTTACGTCCACCAGCGTGTCGGCGTACTCGTCGTCGTCTTGGACTTCGTCTGGATCCACCAAATGAATCACTTGAATCGTTCGGACGAAGGAGGGGCTGATGGCGGTCGCGGCGTCTGCTGGCAGCGTCTGGTCAGAAGTAGTGGTATGGCTGTGGAACGCTGCCCACTTCGCTGCTTGATCCTTTAGCACTCGTTTCTTAAGAGTTGACAATTTCTTTTTCTTTGGGCGTTGAAGGACGGCGGGAGGGATCCCTGTCGCCTCGGCACGAGGTGTCAAGGAAGGAGAATGCAGACATGCAACACCATCTGCGGGTGCTAGATTGACCGTCGGCGGTGCGTTGGACGGTTGGCCTTTGCCACGTGATGGCTGGTGGTGATGTTGGCCGGGATTCCGTCGCCCTGTGCTTTGAGAATGTGATTGCTTCGACGATGATGCAGGTTGCTTGGCCGATGAAACGAAATCTGCTAAGCTGAAACTTGCCGTCGCCTTGACCTTATTCGTTGGCCGATTTATACGACGACTTTTCGTGGCCATGGAGGCTTGTCGATGGGGAGATGTGGGAACTGGTGCGGCTGAATGTTGCTGAGTTGAAGATCCTGCTGACGTTGGAGCTGCCAGCTGTGGTGCAAAGGAAGTGGAGGCTGCTGCACTAGTCTCCCAACGGCGTGTAGGCGGAGGTGGTGGCAGTGATGATGGAGGTTTCCCTTCTGGTGGTTGGTCGACACTTGGACATAATTGCCGAGATGTCGATGCTTTCGAGCCACTCTTTGAGGCCGTTTCACGCCATGATGCAGTATTCATCTCGTTTCGCGCATGATCAGAGTTTGTTGTTGACTGTGACGGCCGAGAAGTCTTGTCGGCTGTGGACGGTCGCTTCAGGATATGCCGCGGTGGCATCATCCACGTCGCACGACGGCGAACCGGACAATGAACCGGTTACGGTTATCCGGATGCCTCATTCCTCTGAGACGTCATTTTCCGCTCAAATACAGAAAATAGGTGTCAGACACGGGATAAGGGCCCTATACGATGCCGCTACGAGCACTTTGCTGTTCGAGAACTCGAGAAGGTCCGCACATAGCTCGCGACGAAGTGAAGGTGGTGTCTGTGGGTCGTATTCTGTGTTCCAACTGTCGGTTGGCGTTCTTTCCGGGTGTATCCGTAGACGACGGTTGAGCTGGATATGCCCTGGCCAATGAACAATCGAGAAAAACTCCGCGGCCCAATCAGCATCGCCAACGTCCCAATCTATATTTGGCTCGCTGCTTGGAAGCAACTCCATCGCAGCCAACCCGTTGCGGCCGACCACTAGCGGTCGCCGCGATTCGTCCCGACGGTTCATTTCCCGATCGTCTCTAGTATCGCTGTTAACGAGTCATTGGCGGCCGGCTGCACCTCCCCGCTTCTTCGTCATGGTGCTGAATGTATTCCGCAAAACCGACGCTGACGTGAGCGACGAGGCCAAAGCATTCATCAACTCGCTCCCGTCCACGTTCATGAACCTGTTTCGCAAGAAACGCAATCTATTTCCCGTGTGGAGTTCGAGCAAGTACTGCGTCATGATCAAGGCCACGTTTCTCGTGTATTACCGTGCTTCCAAGGATCATCAACCGGGACTGTCGAGTCCGACGAATCCCGCCACCCTGGACGATCGCCATTACAAGTACATCAACCTTCGTCATTGCAACATTAAGATCGTCGACGACGACAACTTGGGGAACGTGTTTGTGATCACGCCAGAGCACGGTCGCGGTAGCGTCACGTTTGCCGCTGACAGCGAGAAAGATCGCGCCAAGCTGATTGCGCATGCAAACAACGTCCAACGGGACGTGCCACGTCCGAGCGACTTTGAAACCCTCAAGCTGATTGGAAAAGGCCACTACGGGCGCGTAATCCTTGCCAAGGACAAGCGCAACGACCTGTATGCTATCAAGGAAATGAAAGCCGGCCAGGTCAAGCACAAGGTAATTCACACCGAGCGCATGGTGATGGAGTGGATCGGCGACCATCCGTTTGTGCTCGGGCTCGACTACGCCCTGTCGAGTGGCCGATCGCTGTATTTAATCTCCAAGTTCATGCCGGGTGGTGACCTGTTCCTGCACATGCAAAACCACGGCGGGTCGTTCCCCGAAGCGGTCGTGAAGTTTTACGCGTCCGAGATTGTCGTCGCGCTGACGCATCTGCACACGATGCACATTTTGCACCGCGACATCAAACCAGAGAACGTTTTGCTCGACGTCGACGGCCACATCAAGCTCGCCGACATGGGCTTGTCCAAGCGGCTCGAGTCGAAGCACGGTCGAACCAAGACCATGTGCGGTACCGACGCCTACCTTCCCCCTGAAATGGTGAACCGGACGCTCCAAGGCCACGGCCTCCAGGTTGACATGTGGCAGCTCGGGTGCCTCCTGTATGAGCTGCGGTCCGGCTACCCGCCGTTTTACCTGCCCCAGTCCAAGCAAAAGCACACGCATCAGCGCATCTTGTTTCAAAGCCCGAAATTCACATCGTCCATCTCGCCCGAGTTTCAAGACCTGCTCACGAGTCTACTGGAGAAGGATCCGTCCCGACGCCTCGGTCATATTAACGGCATCGCCGACGTCCGCGATCACGCCTGGTTCCGCGGAACGGACTGGGATAAGGTTCGAAAGAAGGAGCTTGTGCCACCGATCCTGCCCAAACCCGCCGGCGATGACTGGGTCAACAACTTTGATCCGCAATTCACAGAGCAGCCCCACTCGCTCGACGACGAGAAGTCGCTCGAGGCATCGCTGCATCTAGCCAAAGAGTTTGCTGGCTTTGACTACGTCCGACCAACCATCAAACCCATCACGACCCCCACACTCCAGAACCGCGATCCCACTGCCCGACTGGACCCCTCCATTCCCTTGGAGCCGCAATTTGTGTCGTTGCAGATCTAACTTAATCGTCATTTATAACTCAGGCTACCGACGCAGGAATTGCACCGATATCATGCCGACGAGACCCAGCACTACGACGCCCAAGCCGACGTTGTTCCAGTCGATCGCTGGCGGTGTTGAGGCAGGCACAAAGCTGGACGAGGTCGTTGCCGACGCGGTGAGGCCGTACCGCGATCGAAGCTGCACGCGATAGATGGATACTGTCATCACAAACCAAGTTTCCCACGACGGAGATAGCTCCAGTGCTCGCTTGTAATACCGCGTTGCCCTGTCGCCGTTGACGGGAATGCCGCCAATGCCGTACTCGTTCATGTAGCCAACATTGTAAGCGCCCACGCTGAGCCCGTCGGCGCTCGCCCGACTGTACCAAATCAGCGCCATGTGGACATTCTGGCCGACGCCGCACTTGCCATAGTAATAGCAGTCGCCGAGCCGCAACGACGCCTCGACTTCCGTCGCTTCGGCCAAATACGTGGCAGAATTGGGCAGTCCCATCGCGTCGTACAAATAGGCGAGGTTCCCCGCGGCCACGGGGTAGCCGTACTCCCTGGCTTCGTGGTACAGCCAAATCGCCTGATGGTGCTGACCCGAGAGATACGCATCGAAACCTTGTCGAGCGACTTTGCCCCAGTCCCCCGCCGCGCTCACCGCCCGTAGATACGTGATCGCTTCGCTGACATGCCGTTCAAATGTTCCGTCGACGTTTAGTGCCACCTTGCCGAGCTCGAAAATCGAGTCGAAATGGCCGAACGAGTGCGCGGCGTCGCGAAAGTACGCTAACGCACGCGTGGTATTCGCGGGTGTACCAAGACCGACAAAGTGGCAGTAGCCGGCGTTGAACAAACTGTCGCCGTCCGTGCGCTGGGCAGCAGCGTGCTCGAAAAACTCGAGACCTTTCGATTGGTTTTGCGTGCAGTTGGCCGTCCCGTAAAAGTGGATATACCCGAGGCCATTGAGGGCTCGGACGTTGTTTGACATCGCGGCTTGCTCATACCAACGAATGGCCGTTTCGTTGTCTTGGGCGACACCTTCTCCCTTCAAGAGCATGCCTGCCGCCGCAGACTACGGCACCATGTTAGATTGCACCCAGAAAGGACTAGAAGAAGAATGCGTACCATGCCAATAGGGCTGCCAAGGGTCGCCGCGCGCTCAAAGTACTCAAACGCGAGCGGGTGGTCCCGAGCACACCCTCGCGCTCCCCAATAGTACAAGTCGCCCATGGCCACCATCGCGTCAACGTCCTGGTCGTGGTCGGCGCGCATCTTCTGAAATTGAATCCACTTGTCGTTTTCACCCTCTTGGCCCTCAGCTACATTGACTTGGTCTGCATGAAACAATGAGTTCATCTCGTGGCTACAACAACAACAAAACAATCGGTGCTCCAGAGCACGCCGACGAGTTTGGGGGCTTACAGGGGTTGGTTCCCACGGGTGTGGTACGCCCTGGAGGCGTCGACAGCCGCAATGTAGTAGTAATGGGCGGCCGTCTCGCCATCCGCCTCGACGCCGTCACCTTTTTCGTACCGGCGGGCCAAAATCATGTTGGACGAGGCATCGCCCATACTCGCGGCATAATGGAACAGTGCAATAGCTTCACCTGCCGTGCCGAAGGTACGTCAGTCAACTTCTCGTTTGGCATCAACATATCCCACGAACCGAGCGTCGATGGATCTGTAGCGTAAATGAGCGCGAGAGGCTTTGCCGCAGCCGCCTCGCCTCCATGGAGCGCTTGTTTGAAATACCACGCTGCGAGGGTTGCATTCGGTTTGTACAAGTCGTCCGTGCCGTACAGATACGCTTCTCCCATGCGGTAAAGCGATGATGGATGGCCCAGGACGGCGGCTTCGTCGTGCGCTTCCATGGAATTTACGAGTGACGTGGCAACATTGGACGGGGGCGCCGTCGCGACTGTATTCGCTTGATGCCGAAGGAGGGCGGTCAGCTGACCGGCTGTTGTCTTGAGCGACAGCAGATTGCCATGCTCTTGCTGAAACATTGTTTGGATCTGGTGCACAGTCAGCGCCGTGGTGTACAGACGAATATTTTGCATGAAGCCGCGCATGCCATCCATCCATGGGTTGCCCCCGAGGTATAACCCGCCGTCGTTGTCCAGCACGACCGAATTGTGCACGTTCATTTCGGTATCGACGTTGCCGTTGACCGTGTAGACATACGCGAAGGTTTTGTTGCCACCAGTTTGGCTACGGTCGGCCGAATGATTCCGAAACGCAAAGCCAACAAGCACCCACTCGTGTAGCGGGAGCGCTGTCTTGCTCGTCATGCCGACATCCATGTTGTCTTCAGCGCTCACGCGGAGGATGACGCGGCGGTCGTCGGGCTGGAGCCACGCCGACGGTGTCCGGTGCTGGTTGTGCCCTGGGCCTTTGTAGAACAACGTGCGGTGGGTTCCGGTAGCGTCTTGGCTCAAGTACACCCAAAAGACCAAACTCCAAGACCACGTCCGGGGAACAGACGAGTTTGGGACGTGCAATGCATGCACGCCATCTAGCGCCACCATGCCGCGAACTTGAAACGACGGCGCGGGTTGAGGGTCTGCCATGTCCTCTGACACAACGATCGAAACGACCTTTGCAGGTGCGCAGTTGGTGGAAACCATGACGCGAGGAGAATCCATGTCGACTCGAGTGAGTCCGTTCGCCAAGACAAGTCGCCAAGCATACAGCCCCGGGACGGCGATGCGGAAGGCGGTGCTTGGGCTTTCGAACGTCCTCTGGCGCAGTACTTGTGGACGAGTCCTCACCGTGGGGGTTTGAGTGATGTTGGCGATCGAAACGTTGGTTGAGATCGACGCAATGCGAATGTGCAATATGCTCATCGTCACCCACGTTCCTTCCATGTCGTCTCCAACGTGGATGGGGAACTCCAAGATAGCGTCCAAATCGGCCTTGGACGCGACGCGGGGCGTGTTTGTTGCACCGTCAAACTCAACTTTGAGGACGTCTCCGGCCATCAAGACGCCGCCTGGACGATTTGGTAACACCAGCGTCACTACCTTTGGAGTGCACGAGGCCACGTCCAATTCGCACGTCAGCACATTCGAGTCATCTTGAAAGACAGACACTGCATCATGGACTACTTGGGTGGGTTTAAGCTGAACTTGGGAGTCTGCCACGACGAACTCGATGCCGTCTCCGACACTGACAAGGACTACATGCGCCGGTGAGGTGTCGTGATCCGACCATGCAGTCCACGTCACGGCCACGTCGACTGGATCATACGGGCACACGGAGCCCTCAGCAGATATGTCCCATCGTACGTTATCCAGTCGCGGTGTTGACGCGGAAGCCTGCACGGACAACGCGAGAAGGCACGGCAAGAGCGCCCACCACACCATCGTCACCGCGCGTTGACCTTTTTCTCGTGTCCGAAAGATCCAAATACAGACAGGTATCCGGATCCGGTTCGACTTCGCGACGTGCGCCAGCATCTCGCACACGGCGCATGGTGCAGCGACGAGATTCGACTGTTCATGGCCCCGTTCGCAATGGCCATGCAATATGCCATGGGAATGCCGAGGTTGCACGTTGGGTGGGGTGGACATCGCACGTCCACGGCGAGAGCTGGTGGCAAGACGACCGGCCAGGGCAACGTGGCACTTGTCGGCCATGGAATCGATCTCAACTAGATATTCGCCTCTGCATATGATGACCTACTTTTTGTGTTTCTCAGCTCTCTTTTCTGCCTTCTTGGCTGCGTTGTCTTGGATGCGGGTCGCTTCGTCCTCGGCCTTCTTCATAATGTCCTCCAGAATCGAGTTCTTGTAGTCTTCGAACGTCCCGTTGTACGCAATGCAGTCCTGGTCGCCAACCACCCACAGGACGCAGTTGATGGCGGAAATCAGCCGCGCGTCGTGCGTCACAACGACGACGCCACCGTCAAATGCGTTCAACGCGTCGCACAACGCATCGATACTCTCAATGTCCAAGTTGTTGGTCGGTTCATCCAACACGAGCATGTGGGGATTCATGAGGATCAACTCGGCCAACACAACACGCGCCTTTTGCCCTCCCGACAACAGTCGGTTCTTGATCTCGTGGGCGTGGCCTTCCAGCCCGACCTTCCCCAGCAAGTTGCGCGCGTCTTGGTACGTAATGTCCTGGAACAGCCGACGCAAGTACTCGACAGGAGTTTCACCCATCGGGAGCTTGTCGACGAAATGCTGGTTGTACACACCCATGCGCAGCCTTCCGTTGCGGCGAACCTCACCTTCTTCGATTGTCAAGTCGCCCGTGATGATCTTAAGCAGCGTACTCTTCCCGACCCCGTTCGGCCCAACGATGCACACTCGGGAGCTCGTGTCCAGCCCAAAGTCCACCTCCTTGAACAAATATGGCCCGTTGCCGTATTTGAAGTTGACCTCTCGGACTTCGAGAATCGGTGGGGACAATTGCGTGATTTCTTTGAAGCTAAACTTGACCGTGTACTCCCGCGGGCGCTCCAGCAGCTCCATGGTCTTGCCAGAGTCTTGCGCCGATTCGACCGACGACTTGGCCTTCTTCTTCTCGGCGCGAGCACCGGGCTCCCGTTGCTTTTTGATTATGTCGGTCGCCTTGTTTGACGACGCACCCTTGGCCTTGAGGGCGCGAAGCTGCTTTTGCTGCTTCTCCCATGCCTTTTCCGCTTGCTTGCGCTTCTGGACCTCCATCTCTTTGAACTGGTCGTAGTTGCCCTTGTATGATACCAGCTTTTTGTTTTCCAAGTGCAGGATTTCTCCGCAGACAGAGTTTAAAAAGTCGGCGTCGTGCGACACAATCAACAGCGTCTTTTTCCACTTTTGCAGGTAATCGTCGAGCCAAATGACTGCGTTCAAGTCCAAGTGGTTCGTCGGCTCATCCAGCATGAGCAACGTCGGCTCCACGTACAACGCCTTGGCAAGAGAGATGCGCATGCGCCACCCACCGGAAAAGTCCTTTGTCACCTTTTCTTGCATATCCGAGTCGAACCCCAACCCAAACAAGATGCGGCGCGCGCGGGCTTCGGCAGCAGACGCGTTCATGCTAGCGAGTTGCTCGTAAACTTCGTTCAGGCGCTCATCGAGTTGGTCGTTCGGGTTCTCTTCAAGTTGTTGCAGCAAAGACGCTTCTTCTTGGAGCAATGCCCATCGCTCGGCATCAGCCTTCAAGACTGCGTCCACAGCTCGCGTGTCGTCCGCCACCACTTCCTGCTCCACGTACAGGCAGTCAATTTTCGGCGGGATGCGTAGTTCGCCGAGCGCAATCATCTTGAGAATTGTCGTCTTCCCCTGTCCGTTCGGCCCGACCAGACCGTACTTGCCGCCGTGGTTGATGTGCAGCGACGCATTGTCATACAGCAACTTGTTGTGGGCGTTGATGGTGAAGTTGTCAATGTGGATGTCCGTCGCGTTTTCCCAGTTGGCGTCCTCCGTGAAGGCTTGCTGAGACACGGAAAATTGTTTGCCGTCCATGGGGTTGGCGGCGCGATGGTATTCGGCGTCGCGCTCTACGGCTTCTGCTTCTTCCTTGAGCTTGCGACGCTCTTTGTTGCTGAGCTTCTTGCCGTCCTTGCTTCGGTCCTTCTTTTCCTTCTTTACCTTGGTAATGTCTTCGGCCGCCGCTGCCGCCTCCTCGTCCTTTTCAATGGACTCTAAGAAAGCCGCCGCAAACGCTGCCTTCTTCTTCGCCTTCTTGTCCTTTTTCTTGTCGGCTTCGGATTTGGGAGCTTTCTTCTTCGACTCTTCAATGTTCGCAACCTCGCTTTCCATGTCCTGCATTTCGTCGGCAGCGACTTCGTCGACGTCCTCGACAACGATGTCTGCTTCCTCTTCTTCCTCGCTTTCCACAACAACCTCTTGTTTGCCTTTCTTGCTCTTCTTCTTGTCCTTCTTCTTAGACGAAGCTGCGGCAGCCGCTTGGACGTAAGGGTCTTCTTCGACGTCCACTTCCTCCTCGACTTCTTCGACTACGGCCGCTTGTTTTCCCTTCTTGTCTTTCTTTTTGTCCTTCTTCTTGGATGCGGTAGCGGCAGCCGCTTGGACGTACGGGTCTTCTTCGTCTTCCTCGTCCACTTCTTCCTCGACAAATGCTTGTTTTCCCTTCTTATCCTTTTTCTTGTCCTTTTTCTTGGACGCGGCGGCGGCAGCAGCTTGAAGGTACGGATCTTCCTCTTCATCGCATTCTTCGCCTTGTTCGTCGACGACGACTACGGCAGCTTGCTTCTTCTTGTCCTTCTTCTTGTCCTTTTTCTTGGACGCGGCGGCGGCAGCCGCTTGAAGGTACGGGTCCTCTTCCTCGTCGTCATCCACAACGGCAGGCACGGATTCTACATCTTCGTCGACTTCCACAAACGCTTGCTTGCTTTTCTTGTCCTTCTTCTTGTCCTTCTTCTTGGACGCAGCGGCGGCAGTTGCTGCAACGTACGGATCATCTTCGTCATTGTCCTGTTCGTCTTGAACAACAGCAACAGGTTGCTGCTTCTTTCCACCCTTACCCTTCTTGCCTCCTTTCGTCGTTTCCTCAACAGGGGCGGCGGCGGCCGGGACAGCCTCGTCGTCCGAGTCGTCTCCACGGCGGTTGTTGCGTTTCCTCGCCATGTCAAAACTGGATGAATGGCGATGTCGGCGGCGCAAACGATTGGATAATATAAATGAGCGGAATGTTGGTTGTGCTGGGTCATATTTAATTACAGGGAAAATTCGATTGATCACGCCGTAAATGAATAAAAATACGAAGGACCATCACCACAAATCGACATATTTTGCAAGTTTGAATCATTTTAGCCAATCAAGCGCTAGTTTGTTCCTCGACCATGGTTCGAAAGGTCGTGGGAGCGAGAATGACACCTTCACCGCCGCGCTGTCTTGGCGCGGTAGCGATGCTTGGAGCTGTTGTCGCCGATAGATATCGCGCCAGTGGCTAGCGCGTGGAGCTCTTCTCGCGTCACGACCCCCATGAGCTCACCGCGTTTGGACACCTACTCGTCGTGTCATGCACACGATTTTAGCCGCCATGTCGCGCACATACCACGCAAAGAAAGCTGAGTCCGAGTGTTCTTCCTCGCTTTCCACAACAACCTCTTGTTTGCCTTTCTTGCTCTTCTTGTCCTTCTTCTTAGACGAAGCTGCGGCAGCCGCTTGGACGTAAGGGTCTTCTTCGACGTCCTCTTCCTCCTCGACTTCTTCGACTACGGCCGCTTGTTTTCCCTTCTTGTCCTTCTTTTTGTCCTTCTTCTTGGATGCGGTAGCGGCAGCAGCTTGGACGTACGGGTCTTCTTCGTCTTCCTCGTTCACTTCTTCCTCGACAAACGCTTGTTTTCCTTTCTTATCCTTTTTCTTGTCCTTTTTCTT